ACTGGAGTGGCAGTCTGCAGGGCTGGAGGAACCCTGGCAGTGACATGGCTGCTGGGCAGACGAATACTGTGTGAGGAAAGAGAAGGCTCTGCACCCTCAGAAGGGACAGGGAGCGGATGAGGCAGGGCAATGCCTGACCAAAGTGGAGCAGGCGATTCCAGTACGGGACTTAAGGAGCACGTGGGAAACAGAGGCAGGAGAGCTCAAGGCCAACCTGGTCTACACAGTGAGTTCCGAGCCAGCCAGAGCTACACAGTGAGGCTTTGTCTCAAAAGCAATCAAGCTAGCTAGCTCAACGAAGCCTGGGAGAGGAACACTGCTAGCTAGGCTGGGCGTATCACTCCCAGAGATGGTTTCTGAGAAGACTGAAGGGCAGGGAGATTGAAGAGACACGAAGCAGTAGAAAGGAAGAGATCACAGGACCACGCAATAGTGGAAGGCTCCATGGAAGACTCAACTGGGCAGACTCAGTATGATGCCCCTCAGTGCTGACCACAGGGTAGTGGCGATTCTACCAGAACGCCAAGGTGCAGTTTGTCTTCCCCAGAATTTGTTCACCTTAACCCGCCATACGCAACATACTTCTCAGAAATACAAGCCCTATAAACTGACTAATGGAAGCAATTTAAGTAAGTGGGAAAAGTGAAAGAGAATTACTATATACGGGTATGCATAAAGCTGAAGGCGGGGTGGGGGTGGGGTGGAGGGTGGGGTGGGTGGTGGAGGTGGAGGGGGGAGTGTCAGCAGGGTTACTCCTGAAACTACAGATCCAAGCTCCCAGTACTGTAAAGCCCGAGTAAATTGCAGGATGAAACCTAAACACTGACAGCCTAGCAGAGGATGTCCTGGGGTGGTGGAGCCTTTCTCAAACAGGTGACAGTATCCCGTTTTCAGTCCCCTTCCTATAATTCAGAAATGTGATCGGTGAATTGAACCAGGGACCCAGACCACTGACATCTCTGACTGAACCTTCACTGTGAGCTCATGACCTCAACCCCACCGTCGCACCGCTTCCAAGGCCTATTCCTGAATCAGGGTTTAAAAGGCCAGGGCGCCGCTTCCGCCCTCTAAGGAGCTGGGGAGCTGCGCGGGACCCCTTTGTCCAGGGAAGTCCCAGAAAAGGCAGGAGCCTGGCGGACAGCAATCACAACTAGGCAGAAACCTTTAAGAGACTCCCAGGGAAGAACCGACCACTAGGCGGCAGAGGAAAGGCCTGGGGGTATTCGCTGGGTCCCGCTGGGGGACAGCGGTGGCGAGGGCGGGGTAGCACCTCGCTAGAGTGCAGGGAGCCGGGCAGGTGATCCAGCAACACCACGGCCACGCCGCGCCCCGACCTTCCAGCTCCAGCGCCTCCCCGGACCCGCCTCGCTGCCTACCAGTCGGTCGGGGACTTCTCGGTGACTACGCGCACGTAGGCCTCCTGCAGCGCCGGCCCGTTCCGGCTCAGGTTCACCGCCATGGCACGCCCCACGGTCCCAGCGATGCGGCAGCCTCAGCTTTCCACCGGCCTCCGCGGACGACCGGAAGCTCCGCCCCGGGCGGCCGGAAGCCTTGCCTCGGACGTGCGGAAGCCGCGCCCAGGAGGCCGGAAGCGGAAGTAGAGAATTTGCGCGCTAGTTTGCCGGTAGAATTGAGGTGGAGTGGCTGGTGGTGAATTAGAATCCAGGAGAGGCGGGCGTGGCCTTGTGTCCTCGAGTCAGAGCATCGGGCTTATTTTCTCATTCTTGTTTTAGTTAGTGTATTTTGTTTGAGAGCAAGCTTAGATTCCCAAGTCTCTCCCGACGTGTACTCCTGAACCTGTGTGTGCACTCGCGCCTCAGAAATTTAACCTGATAGCTCGCCCGGTGGCGCACACCTTTAATCCTTGCACTTGGGAAGCAGAGGCAGGTGGATCTCCTAAATTCAGACTAGCTTGGTGTAGTGTACAGAGCAAGTTCCAGGACAGCCAGGGCTGCACCGAGAAACCCTGTCTGGGGGCGCGGGGTGGGGGGTGAAGGGAGAGACTGAAAAAGAAAAAAAAAAATCTGCGGTATCCGGCGTGGTGGTACGCGCCTGTGATCCTAGCACTCAGGAGGCAGAGGCAGAAACTTGAGTTCTAGGTCGGCTTGGGCATCATGTAGATCACCTAAAAGAAAAAAAAAAATTAGCTCGATAGTGGGATAATGAAGAGAACCTGCTTTGTGCCTCAATTTTTCTTCAAAAATAGTTGCCTGAACGTCCCTATGATGGATCATAATCTGTAACTGTAAACTAAAATAAGCCCTTTTTTATATAAATTGCTTTTTGTCAGGGTATTTTATCACAGCAAGAGAAATGAAAGTAAAAGTTACAACATTTAAAATGTTGCAAGAATGGGGCGCTGGTGTTGGTGCTGGTGCTGGTGGTTAAGAGCACTGGCTGCTTTTCCAGGAGACCCAGGTTCAATTCCCAGCACCGATACAGCAGTTCACAACCCTCTGTATCTCCAGTTCTAGTGTGCCCGATGCCTTCTTCTTGTCTCTGCTGATACAATGCATGGACGTGGTGCACTTACACAATCACACAAATGTATAAAAATAAGATGGGGGGCTGGAGAGATGGCTCAGAGGTTAAGAGCACTGACTGCACTTCCAGAGGTCCTGAGTTCAATTCCCAGCAACCACATGGTGGCTCACAACCATCTGTAATGAGATCTGGCGCCCTCTTCTGTATACATAATAAATAAATAAATTAAAAAAAAATAAGATGGGTGTTGGGGAGGCAGAGGCAGGTAGGTCTCTTTGAGTTTGAGGCCAGCCTGGTCTACACAATGAGTTTCTGGCTACAAGTGAGACCTTGTCTCAAAAAAGTATTAAAAAGAAACTTAAACTCCATTTAGCAAACCCAAATCTTCCAAGAGAGGTAACATATTGTGTGTGTGGTACATGTACAGGTGGGGGTGTATGCATACTTGTGTGCTTTGTGGAGGCCAGAGGACAATGTCAAGTGTCCTGCTCTTTCATTCTCCACCTTATTCCTTAGAGGCAGGTCTCTTACTGAACCTGGAGCTAGGCTGGTGGCCAGCAAGTCATAGTGATCCTCCTGTCTCCTGTCCTCCCCATAGTACTGAAGTTATAGATGTACAGAGCCAAGCCCAGCTTTTTAAGCAGGTACTGGGTGTTTGAGCTCAGGTCTTCAAGCTTGTGAAAAAGTGCTCTTTCCCACTGAGCCAGATCCTCAGCCCCAACAGGCATTTACTCTTCACAGATCATTTAAACCAGTGGTTCTCAACCTTCCTAACACTGCAGCCCTTTAATATGATTCCTCATGTTGTGGTGACCCCAACCATGAAATTATTTTGTTGCTACTTCATAACTGTAATTTTGCTACTGTTATGAATGGTAATGTAATTATCTGATGTGTGATCCCCAAAGGGTCTCCACCCACAGGTTGAGAATCCCTGACTTAAACCCATGCATCTCTCTGATCGCTTATGGTCCTGGGGGGGGCGGGGGTGGGTGGATCACATTATTCCACATTTGGCTTTACAGGATCTGCTGCTCAGTTACTGACCTAGGACTGGATGTGGGTGGCACATGACCAAACACACTATGGTTTATCTTCAAAATAAGGCTTTCCCAAAAGCCTACTCCCCAGGTTGACCAGAGCCCTGGGAGCATGACAAATAGGTGGGCTCCCGTCTCAGTGGTAGAGAACCCAAGGGATTTGCCTGAGCACAAGACTGTCCAAGTGGCCTGGCAGGTATGAAGCTCATTTTAGGTTTGCAATCAATTAGTAATTGGCACTGGTAACATCAAAGGGCCAATTTTACTTTTGCTACTATTCATTCTCCAGCAGAGGACTGGCTTGGGGATACTCTAGATCTAGAAATGTTTGCTTGGAGTTATAAACTACTAAGCTTGAACGACTAAAATATAGATGCTCATAGCCCTAACACCATGTTGGGCCAGGACATTGCTGTCTGCCTGCCTCTGATGTGAAACTATGTCCCTTTCCTGGCTGGATTATCATCTACAAAGTGCTGTGTTCTGCTGAGCTGAAGTGCATAACTTCACACAGCACACAGTGTTGCAGCTTGTGAGAGAGTGTGGTAACAGCCTTGCAGAACACTTCAGTAGGAACATTCTTTCCCCTAACATTTAAGAAACAGAAATTTAAAGAGCAACTCTCAACAGAGTGAGATGCAAAAAACTAAGTCTAAGAGCTCCAAAGACTGTAGTCCGAGATCCTAAATAACAGCAAATGCAGGACTTCCCTCCAGTGGTGGGAATGAGCTCAGAATCCTGTTGACACTGGCATTGGTTGACTTTTCCATTTTAGAGTCTTATGTGGCTGAGGCTGGCCTTGAACCTCTTTACTCCACTTCCCCACCATGCTGGAATTACAGGTGTACACAGCCATGCCTGCCTACTTATTTTCAGAGCAAACCAATCTCCCTTGGCTGATCCTCAAGTGTTAGATCAGCACTTGTTCCTCCTTGCCCTCATAGGCCTCACCTGGTCTTTGGGTGGCAGTTTTTCTCTTCTCTCCCTGTTCTGGTTCACCAACCATTACTCCCTGAGAATAGACCAGCTTTATAACTAATTCAGAAGATTAAGTTAAGGCTAGGTGTCATGGATAACTGTTATCTCATAGTGCTTAGGAGACCAGGGCGAAGAGATCTCTAGTTTTAAGCCAGTCTGGACTATATTGTGAGAGCTCATCAACCCAAAACAAAACAACCCCAAAACACAAAGCACTTGCTAGAGAAACTCCTTAGTTCTTCTCCCACTTTGAAGACCTTTCTAGAAGTTTCTTTCTTAGGCAGTTGTGGTGGCAGATGTTAATAAGTCCAACTTTCAGAAGACTGAGACAGGAGGAACCAGAATTTAAGTCCAGCTTGGGCTATGTAACAAAACTCTCTTCAAAAAAACACATTCCACACACACTGATGCTGCTCTCAAAGCCCCGGACTTAAGAGCAAACCTTGCTCCGTCAGAAAGCCCACAGAGGAAGCCAAGCACTTAAAACCTAATCAAATCTCTGGAGAACCTGTTAAGTTTATTCTGAAAGAAGAAAAAAATGTCAATTGTCATTCATAGTTCTGAGGGAATTTCATTTTTTATTTGCATTTAAAGTCCCTCTCCTTCCTTATGTTCCCATCTGTGAATGGCTTATACTTGAACTTCCTGTTAAGTTCCCAGTGGGAGAAGAGGAAAGCCTCACCACATACAAAAGCACAACCCCAATCTCTCCACGTTGATGATGTCATCTTCTTTCTTGGGGAGTTACGTGCTTTATAGAACCTGATGTTTCCCAGTTGCTGTCTGGTGTGAGGAGAGAAACGCAGCATATTGCACTACAGAGGGTGGTGGTGGAAGAGAGCAGAAGCACTTTCACGATGCTGTTCCAATTCCCAGGAGCCTCCAGGATGCACTCAGACTCCTGAGGACATGGTTCTGTGGCAGACAGTATGAGGAAAGCCCACTCTGCCCTGGGCCCTCAGGACTGCACTGTGTTCTAAAGGCAACGGGCATGTGGTTAGGGAGCAGACCAGGCCCCCTACAGTGCCATAGTGACTAGTGCACCATTTGAGGACAAGTAGGGGAGGCATGCATGGCCTGATTCCCCAGAGACAAGCAGAAAAGCTGGGGATAGACCAATTCTAGTGTAACAGGAAGACTGCAGATCATAACGATGGTTGCTGATTTGGCATCAAAGGTGTGGTACTGTCAAGGCCACAATGGCTGAAAGTGGCACCACCAACATGCTGCAGCCAGAGAGTGAATGGCCGACACGTGTGTGAACGGAGGATGTTCTGTGAGTGCCTTAGCCAATAGCTCAGAGCTTCACAGGAAGGCCACTCTGCCTGGCAAGCTTCTCTTGGATACTGTCTCCCATGGAGCCTTCGAGGCACTTACATAGCATATTTCTGTGTCCACTCTCTCGCTAGTCTGTTGTATCTGGAAGAAAAAGCAGATGAAGCGACACCCTCACTTGGAATGTTATCCTTTCGATGTGGAGTAGAGAACATAAAGCTGTGCTGGGCAGGCATGGGGACTGATGGGTGAGAGAGACAGAGGCTTTCTTTGGAACAGAAGCACTTCAGTCATGGGGGTAACCCGTTAGCTTGGTGGTTCCTGTTGCTCCTCCATAACTACCTGTGGTGGAACATGCACTAATGCAAACCACATCTTTTCTCCCCTGTGCCCTTCAGTATGAATGCAAGATGTGGAAAGAGTTCAGCTTGGAATATTCCAGCTGTCTGGCACACAAACTCCAGAACACTGGCATAATCTGTGAATCCATATGACCCCTGTAGCTGGATCACCTCTCTGTGAATGGCTTATCACATCCCTTGACTGTTTACCATGAAACATAAAACACCATCTGCTTTGTGGGGCCAAGGGGAGGACTGGACAAGCCTGTGCAAATCTCAGGGGCCACACCTGGTATCTAGTGGGGCTCTGTAGGTATGTGCATTTGGCTTCATACTGTAATGAGAACTGATGCCATACAAACAACAGTAAATTAGAAATGTGTAATTAGAGGATACTGAAAAAATAATTTTGTTCTATCTAAAATAGCTCCCACTAAACATTAAAATAAATACAGCTTCAGCTGGGCATGGTGGTGCGCTACAATCCCAGCACTCAAGAGACAGAAGTAGGTGGATCTCCGAGTTCAAGGCCAGACAGGGTTACTCAGTGAGATTCTGTCTCAAACTTAACACCAACAAAACAAACAAGTAAAACCTTAAAGTCCAGTCAGTTCAAACTCACTTTGACTGGTCCTGGGAAACTCCATTAAGGAAAACAGATTTATAAAGGCTTCAAGAAAAAAAGCTTGAAAAAAACCCTTTCTATCCTAATCTCTTCAGACAAAACTAACCGATGAGCTAAGACTTACTAATCTTTTTGTTTATTTGGTTTGCTTTTTTGAGACAGGGTTTCTCTGTGTAGCTCTGGCTGTACTGGACTCACTCTGTAGACCAGGTTGGCCTTGAACTCACAGAGATCTACCTGCCTCTGCCTCCTGAGTGCTGAGATTAAAGACGTGCGCCACTACTGCCCAGCTTTTTTGCTATTTTTAAAAAATTAATTTATTTCATGTGTGTTGATGTTTTGCCTGCATATCTTGTGTGAAGGTGCCAGATCCTCTGGAACTGGAGTTACAGACAGTTGTGAGCTGCCATGTGGGTGCTGGGAATTGAAACTCTGTGTCGAAAAAACAAAACCACACCAGACAAATAAACAAACAACAACAACCACAGAGCACTGGCTACTCTTTCTAGAGGATCCAGGTTCAATTCCCAGCACCTCCATGACAGCTAACAACCCTCTGTAACTCCAGTTCCAGGGGAACCAATGCTATCTTCTTGCCTCTGTGGGCACCATATATGCACGTGGTGCAGAGACATGTATACAGGCAAAATACCCACACACATAAAATTAAAAAAAAAGACAAAGAAGATGCGGCTCTAGAGCCACACACTGGCCTGTGCCATCAGTAGGTCTGCCACACTTGACCCAGCTCAGAGACTGACCCATGCTAGTGACTCCTGCGGATGCTTTAGCAACCCAGCTTCAGTATAAGGGAGGGAGTCTTATGATTCTGGGTCTGGAAATTAGTCGTAAACAGCTGGCAGTGAGGGCTGGGTCTGCTGATCACACAGCCACACACTTTGGATTTCTAATCTTCACCAGCAAACTAACCTTGGCAGTGCTGCCCACCTTGACTGGTTCAGCCTCATTCTGGGCATTTCCAAGCAGACAACCCCTTATTTCCTGTCATAAACCTTCTAATTTAATTCAGAATTTTCTCGTCATAGTCTCCAGTCCTTTGCTGGCTGACCACTGACTTAAGCTGCCCTCAGGTCAGGGCTTGACACTATTTTAGGATTCGGCAGTGGTAGCTAGTGAGCTATCCAGGAGGGCAAAGTGCTTTTATCCCTCCTCCCTCCTCTGAGTCAAAGGATGCGTTAGGAAGAGCCAGGAGGCTACGCCCAGGGCACACCACTGCATACATGGGCTTGGCTTGGGCAGGAAGATGTCCGTGGGAACCTGGGCAGCCGCACACAAAGCCAACCCAAAGAGGACGCATACTTCTCTCTGTCGGCCTTGTAGGTGTGGGCTATTTCTGGCACCAGAGGGTCATCAGGGTTGGGGTCGCAGAGCAGAGAGCAGATGGATAAGAGAACTAGGAAGAAAAGAAAGGGTCAGTCAGCGGAGGCCACGCGCCTGTGGGTCACCTGGGGTCCAGTGAAGCTCCTCCACTGCACTGTTCCCTCAACACTCCAATGGAATGATTCTATCTGCTGCTAAAACACCAGCATGATGCACATCACAGTGTAGTTCCAGCACACTGTTCTAGGACACCTCCCTCCTCTGTGTGGTCCTGGTCTTTACCTCCCTACTTCCTGGAAGCCCCTGAAGTCTTAGCTCTCGCACTCTTCCCAAACCCCCAGTCTGTGCCCATACCACATATCTTTAGTGCCCCAGAAGTCTTTGTTTACTGGTAAGAAGACAGGAATCAGAATATTGAAGTTAGAGTAAAATCTGAACCAGGACTGCAAAGCCAATGCATCCTCCTGCTTCTGTGCTCTCCTGTGTGGAGGCAGTGCCAAAGGCCTTGAACAAAAGAAGTCATTTACCAGGGCTTGCCAAGGAGCAGGTGAAACTGTGAGAGCTGTATTTGTGCTCTGCCTTAATTCTACCATGACTCAAAACAAACTTGCTTCAGTGAGTCCAAAGTCCTGACAACAGTTTCCTACGGGTAAAGCTACCTGTGGGAAGGGTGGGCCCCCTTTAATGAAGAGACTCAATTCCAATGTTCTGAAAGCCTGCCACTTGAGGGCTGTGGACCTCTCTCCATCCACTCAGGGCTACCTGTCCTTTCTCAAGTGCCCCTTGCCGCTCCTCTCCTCTCTGCCCGCTTTTCTGTCTCCTTGCCTAAGACGCCACTGGCCCTGGGGGCTGGCAGGCTCTGATGGCTGCTCCTAACTTGCCTGGACAGTGGGATAAGGCCGCCTACCTGAGGTACAACCCAGAGAAGAGACATTCTGACAGAATGTTGGCCTGTTTCCTAGATGTTAGTCTGACAGAGTGCACTGCGACCCTGCACAGTACAGAGGCAGTGGCTCTGTCCTGGATTACCATATCCACCTGCAGGCCTTTTCTGCCTTCCAAAGGCCACCCTGCCAGTTGTCCCAGGCAGTTTGGTGCCTCTCCCAATGCCCAAAGCTCTGCCATTTGCTTGCCTTATGTCCCACTTATATGGGGGGCGGGGCTTTTGTTGTCCCACCTACCCATACCATACTCAATCTTAGTTCAGGAGCACCTATACTTCTGTAGCATAGTTTAGATTGGATTGTTTTGGTTTTTTTTGAGACAGGATTTCACTGTATAGTCCTAGCTGTCCTGTAGCCCAGGCTGGCCTCGAACTCACAGAGATCTTCCTGTCTCTGCCTCCCAAGTGCTGGGATCAGAGGCGTGTGCCACCACACCCAGCTAAACTGAATTCTTAATCTCACTCACTGCAGGCTCATTATCACTTGTTTTGGGAAGGGAAAATGCCTTAACAGATTCTTGAGATCAAGAGATCTCAAGAGGTCCTGTGTCTGTCCTTTCAGAGATGACTCCCAGTCTGTGTTGGTCCTCCTTGGATCATTGAAGGAAAGAAGAGAAAAGTTGAATATTTGCCTTTTGACTTTTAGGTGAAAAATGCAAGTTGTCTTCTTGTACCCATCTGGCAGTTTTGAGCATCACACGGCATCTCAACTGACTGCTGAGAACTACTAGGACATAGGTGCTGTGCTTTACATGCTGTCTCCTTACAGTGTGAGAATGAGGTGGCACAGGACAGGGCAGGACTCTGTGATCTGGGGAAGTTGTCTGTTCTTCCTGAGCTTCCATGTACACTAGCCAGCAAAGGGGTAAAAGTACATGAGACAGACATGCTGAGAACATGTCAGTCTCTACCTTTGGACACAGTCAATGCTGGGGACCACTGTGACCTCAGGATGTCCAGGCAGATGTTACCATTGCTGTTGATATTGGGGTGATAGATTTTGGTAGTGAAAGCAACCTGTGAAAATAAGATATCAAGTCAGATAAGCCACAAGGAACTCTGGAAACTAATCCAAGTGAAGAGCAGCTTCTGCTGAGCTGCCAGCAGTGCACCCACCCCAGCTCCTATGGGGCCTAGGCAGGCAACCCCAAGAGAGCAATGTTAGTATTCTGACCAGTTTCCAAGGGGTTAAGATTCTGACTTGCTCTCAGGCTCGAATGGGCGGGACCCGGAGACCTATCCCCCGACATGCTGGTGATATAGCCAACTTGTCAGCCCATTTCATTGCCTGACTCACTTGTGGGCAGGGGCAACACACTCCTATGCTGGGATAATGTAACAATAGTAATGCCTAAGAGATTTTAAATCTTTTTAAAATGCCATGTACTTCATTTTTTATATTGTAAGAAGACATTTGAGAGATCTTGAACCTTTCCTTGGGAGCAGTTTTTAGAAAGTGATTCAGGATATAAATACCAGTTATACATACCTTTTAACACAAATCTGTGATTCTGCTAGGACTCAAGAGTATGAGTCTACTTCTGCTGTTTTGCAGATACCCATTGTCTGCTCTTCTACAATATGGAGTTCAGTATTGACTGATAATACTAATTTACCTAAAACTTTTATTACCTTTTATAAGATCCACTTCACAGAGGTCAAACGAGCTCCAGATGAATGAGTTTTCAGTTTTCCCCACCCATCTATTCCTGAGGATGGTATTTTGCTCCCTCTTGGTCTCCCTTTCCCAATTACTAAGACCATGGGCCAAGAGGTTCCAAATAAATTCATAAATCTTCACTCTTGTCTCTAGTCTGTGTCTGTTTCAGTGGGCTCCCATCTGGATGACTGACACATCCAGGCATCAAGCTACCGACTTCAACCTGTGAGACAACATGGACCTGCTGAAGGCTGATGTGGACCAGTCCAGCCAAACGTAATTATTTCCTGTCTCTACAGCTAGGCCAGATGACCACATGCCTGGGTTCCCTTCTTATCTTTAAGACCACATGCCTGGGTTCCCTTCTTATCTTTAACTAGCCAGAGTCCTGACCACTTGTGCCCCATTTCTGCTTGAAGCAGCTATGGAGAATACATCATCCTGTGCTCCCTGTTCTCAGGACAGGCTGGAGGGCTAGGTTAAGGATGGAACCCCTGGCACAGAGTCCACCAAGAGGGTCTTTTTCCTTTTCTCAGAGGGTCCTTTTCTCAGAGTTGGGCCGTACCCTGACTCACAAGCCCCTTTTCTCCTGTTTTCAGCCTTGGGATCTTTTCCCCTGTCACTCTTCTTTGCCTTTTTTTTTTTTTTTGATTTATTTATTTATTATGTATATAGTATTCTGTCTGCATGTATGCCTGCAGGCCAGAAGAGGGCACCAGATCTCATTACAGATGGTTGTGAGCCACCATGTGGTTGCTGGGAATTGAACTCAGGACCTCTGGAAGAGCAGTTGGTGCTCTTAACCACTGAGCCATCTCTCCAGCCCCTCTTCTTTGCCTTCTAAGGAGACAGTTTAAGAAATAATTGTTTCTATAAAAGTCATTCAGGATTGTAGTCTGGCTGTACTCAGGGATCAGAACTATAGCTATAGGGCATTAAAAATGGTGGTGGATTCAGATATCACTGCCAATGGCTTAGAGAATGTCTCTCTTTACTCAGGATCTATTCTGGCTTAAGAATGTGAGCCTCCCTGTCCTTGCTGACTTCATTGGGCTGTGACCAACTGGGAAAACTGTATATTCAGATTTAATTTATATATGGTTTCAAAGTTAATTTAATTTATACTTTTAACAGATTTTGTTCCTCCAGTCATCAAACACCTGTAGAGATCTGAGAATATGACATTTAATACAAAAGCTTTTGATGACAGAGAGACATGTCAGCTGCTGGCAGCATCCTGTATCTCCTCCAAGAATACAGATGGCCACAGAAGAATTTCCACCCGGAAGCTCATGGCAAGGCTGGCCATGCAGAGAAAAGCTGAGATCCTGTCCAGGCTGTGAATAAGAGGAGCAATAGGGATCAGTTGTCCTCTCTGCCAAGACAGGTAGGATGACCTCCCCAAATTTCTACTTCACAGAAAAAAAATCTGTCAGATCTTCTGGGCTTATTAGCTGAACAAGTGCTGCCTTTGGGGCTTCTTTTCCCCTCAATGACCATGGACAGACTTGGGATTGCTGCCTAGGTAGCTGGAAAGCTGTCTCACTTCTTCTTAAATTTATCCTTCTCAGATCTGACAATGTTTGATGACTAGGATATCAGTTTAACTGCCCCAACCCCAAGATTACAAGCACCTTGGCAGCTCATTAATACCTTTCCTGTTATAAGACAGGTATGCCTCATTCACAGACTTCATGGTACAGGATAGACTGGTTTCAGATATAACTCCAGAGGTTCAAAGTTTTAATATTGATAAATGCAGCTTTGATAAACTGATAAAACATTGACTACAAAGAGTTAAGCATCCTTAAGTGAATTTTTAACCCTTTTGCTATGATAAAAATCTATTTCAGCTGTCTTACAGATACTACAGGCTCCTGGGAAAAGTTCTGCTACTGTATCAAGAAATCTGGTCTGATGAAAACTAACAGTCTCCAGAGCCCATTTTGACCTCACCCATTTTTGAGCATATTTTGCAGTTTCCCTCCTCCTGCTTGGGCCAAGGGGCTCCCCAGATATGCCAGCCCCCGCAGCAGCTGATACCAGCTCTGAGGATGCCAACTGGGATGGCTGCACCCCCACCTCCAGAGAAATGGCAGATGTGATGGCTCCTGCACTCCTGAAGAACACGTCATCCCTCAATTCACTGCTGGTACCACCTCTCCAGGCTCAGGCGGGCACCTGCCCAGCAACTGGAACCTGGTTTTCCAAGCTGTCCCAATAAAGGGCATATTCATTTGCTCCCATGTCTCACTCATTCACCCTTGCCTCTTCTGTACCACCAGGGCACTTCTCTGTTCCATTCTCTCTGGCAGTTATCACTCTTCCCATGGCTAGCCCAGCTCATAAGGCCAATGATAATAATGCTGTGGGATGGTCTGTATGTCAAATGTGTTGCTGATTGGTCAATAAATAAATCACTGATTGGCCCGTGGCCAGGCAGGAAGTATAGGCGGGACAGGGAGGAGAATAGAGCTGGGAAGTGGAAGGCTGAGTCAGAGAGACACTGGCAGCCGCCATCAGGACAAGGAAGATGTAAAGTACTGGTAAGCCACAAGCCACGTGGCAAGGTATAGATTTATAGAAATGGATTAATTTAAGCTGTAAGAACAGTTAGCAAGAAGCCTGCCACGGCCATACAGTTTGTAAGCAATATAAGTCTCTGTGTTTACTTGGTTGGGTCTGATGGCTGTGGGACTGGCGGGTGAGAGAGATTTGTCCTGACTGTGGGCCAGGCAGGAAAACTTTAGCTACATAATAATCTATTTTTTCTCCTAACAACCTCAAGGAACAGACGCCTGAGATCTCCTGCCGCCACGTGCAATTCCCGGCTTCCCCCTCCCCACTTCACCCCTTGTCAGCTTGAAGCAGTCTGGAGAATGCAGCACCTTTGTTCCCCCACTTGCTATCCATAACTCACCTTTTTATAAGAATCAAAATGGAGGAATATTAATATTCTGATCTGCTCCTTGGAGACCAATGTATTCTGACCCACTCCTTGGCGCAACCCTGTGTCTGATGTAAAAGCCTCATTTTAAGGAAAACCCCCTCCCCTTCCTCCCTCTCTCTCTTCTGCCTTTCCTCCCATGAGGTGTGCATCTTTGACCCCCTCTGTAGGGAAAGGGGCTAAAGAAACCTACCCTGACTCTGGAGCCCAGAATCAGGGAAAGAAACACAGCCTGGGTTTGGGACCTGAGCCAGAGAAATGAACACTTTATCTCCAAATCCAGAACCAAGGATACATGCACTGACTCTGAAACTAGTACCAAAGTAACCTTCTTGGTCCCTAGAATCAGAGTCAGTGAAAGAAATGTGCCCTGGCCTTAGAAGTAGTGTCAAAAAGCCAAGAAAGGCCAGTGAAAGAAATACAGTTTGGCTCTGAAATCAGAGCCATCTCTGCTCCTAGCCCATAAAACTGACCAATCCCTGGGCAGAAAAAAAACTAACCAATCACTGGTTGACTCTGCCCCCAAGACATCCTATATAAACTGCCCTGGTCAGTTGTGGGCTGTTCTCTCCACCCCGGTAGAGGCGGCTACTCTCCTGGACTCCTCCTTCCCAAATAAATCTCTTTCTCAAGAGTTTTGGGTGTGAAGATCTTCATTCACTGGCATAGAAAAGAACCTTGCTGAGATGTCCCTCAGTGGATAAAGCAAGGGAGAGATGAAAAAGTAACTTTTCTCATTTCTGCAGGGTTTCCCCTTTTGCAGAGTGAAGCAAAAGAAGCAACATCTTAGGCTGGAGAAGCAGAGCTCTGCTAGGAAGCCCCCTTAAGTGGGGGCTGATTTGCTCAGCTGTAGTGGCTCTCCAAGAGAGGAGCAGGATTGCTATATCCTGCAGTGAGACCATCCCCCACCACACCAGGTATAGCCTGACTCTCCTGAACAATCAGGATACCCTTCCTGTCCTAGCAGCTCCAGGCCTGACTCTCCCGAGCAGTCAAAATAACTTCCCCTCCAGGACAGAGCTGTCCTTAGTGGCTTGAGGTATCCGGGATACCTCACCCTCCAGGGCTGCTGTCTCATTGCAGCTCCAGCCATCACCTGACTCCCCAAGTGGTCAGGATACTTCTCTCCCAGAGTTGTAAAACTTACACCCTCTCTCTCTTTCTCTTTCTTCTCTCTCTCTTTCCTATCTTTCTCTTTGTCTACTACAATAAACCATTTCTGTGCGGATGCAGTGTCTGGGTCATGAATGAATGGCCACTGCCACTGCCGCTGCCATGCCTGTATGATATGTCCCGCCCACTGCTGCATTTGCCCAGCGTGCCCACCATGTTTCCCTGCATGCATGGGATACCCGCCTGGGTCAGCCCATTTCTTGCTGGATTCTCATTTTGAACATGGGGACTAATGGCAACTTTCCTAAGCACTGTGCTGTGAAGAGTAACAAGCAGGGTGGTAGAACCCCAAAACTCAAATATCTGCGCTAAAACCAACTTAATTATGGTTGTGACGAGGAAGCAGTCCTCATGAGAAACAGCCAGATAAAATTCACTCTCACTCTTTGCTTAGCTACTTTGGTCTGGGTGACAAGGATGAAAAAGAATTTGTTTGTTTATCAAGAAAGAGTTACTATGTAGCTCTGGCTGTCCTGGAACTCACTCTACAGACCAGGCTGGCCTTGAACTCAGAAATCTGCCTGCCTTTGCAACAGAGTGCTGGGATTAAAGGCATGTACCACCACCACCACCACCTGGCTGTATGGCATTTTCTTGATCAATGATTGGTGTAGGAAGACCCAGCTCACTGTGGGTGGTGGCATTCTGGGGCCTGGGTTGTATAAGAAAACAGTCTGAGCAAGCCATGAGAAGCCAGGCCAGTAAGCAGCACCCCTCCACAGTCTGCACATGTCCTGTCTCCAGGTTCCTGCTTGAGTTTCTTCCCTGACATTCTTTGCTGATGGAGTATAACCTAAGAGTCGTAAGATGAAATAAACCCTTTTTTCTCCAAGGTGATTGGTCATGACATTTTATTACAGCAAGAGAGACCGTAAGACAAGGACTAATCGTGAATATCTGCAGTTTAATGTCCCAGCAGGTTGTAACCATTGATCTGGAATGGAAGTGTATTGGGAGAGGTATACATACAGCTATTTACTTGTGTCATAGAAGGTCATTATAAGCTGTCCTTTTATCAAAACATTATGAGAGTTGGGGGCAGCTCACCTTTGGGGGCTTGAAAGGATAATCTGTAGGGAAGTGGATGGTCAGGAAAAAAACACCTCCTTGGTAAGGACTGTCATTCTGGAAGGCCAAGGCAGAGGAAGAAATCAGTGCCTGCAGGAATCAGGAAGTACTAGAAACGAAGTAGAGCTGTGCATGCAGCAGCACTACCTACCGGGCCCATGATGGTGGCCTGCCAGTGGAACACTGCAAGACAAAAGAGAAGGGCATGTAAGAGACTCCTCAGTGAAGGGTGTCTGTTCTACTAAGAAGGTGACACTAAGCTCAGGGCATAAGGTCCACACAGAACCGCCTCATTTCTGACACTGACTACAGGTTTGGGGCTTTGAAAAGTGCGCCCCCCCCACCCCCATAGGGTTTCTCTGTGTAGTCCTGGCTGTCCTGGAACTCACTCTGTAGATCAGGCTGGCCTCAAACTCACAGAGATCCACCTGCCTCTGCCTCCCCAGTGCTGGGATTAAAGGCAGGCGCCATTGCCATCTGGCTGAAAAGCACTCTCAAGCTCCATAACTCACCAGGACTCCCAGGGATCCCTGGAAGCTACTGGATCCAGGGTTATAGTTACTAAAGTGACACAGATCCAAATTAAATTTCCTGGACACAGTCACTGCCCATCGGGAATGCTTACCAGGGCAGCAGTGTAAGACTCCACCGTGACATGACTGATGCTCATCAGTCTCAGAGACCGGGCTCAAAGATCTCAGATCTTTTTTGGTTAAGACTAATTCTTTTGTTTTTTTTCAAGATTTATTTTTATTTGATGTGTATGGGTATTTTGCCTGCATGTATGTATGTGTACCATGTATGTGCCTTGTAGTGAGAAGGCTATAACAGCGTTGGATCCCCAGGAACTGGAGTTGAAGACAGTTGTGGATGCAACATGGGTGCTGGGAACTGGAATCAGGCTCTCTGAAAGAGCGGCAAGTGCTCTTAACAGTTGAGCCCTTTCTCCAGCCTCATGACGAATTAACTACACAGGTATAACTACTCTCTCTTTGCATAGAATTACACCTTAGCTAGTCTTTTGCCAATTTACATGTTACTGTTGACAAGCTTTTCTGTTCCCTACTTTTTCCCTTGATTCATTTTGAAGCCCTTTTGGAGAGTCTCTCTCAGGCTGTGGGACCTCTTGGTCCCTCACCTCATCTCCCCCAGTGGCCCAAGCAGTGTTCTGAGGACATGATGACAAGTCAAGACGGAGCCTTCCTGTTCTTCTCGAGTTCCTGCTCTTCAGCAATCAGACTTTGTTACCAACCCTCTGTTCTCTCCAGGGCCTTGGGCTGTCTTCACTGCTCTGCCTGTGCCCAGAGCAGCTCCTGTGTGTGTGCTCATCAAGGCTGCCCTGAATGCCCCAAATAGCCATATCCAAGGCTGCAGAGTACCTCAGGGCAGTAGACTCCAGAGCCTTTGTGGAAGCTGTCTTCTCACTCATGGGGTGGGCGTCTGAGTTTTTAGAGGTCTTCCTCTCAAGAGGATTCATTTCATACAAATCCATGACAGGTACTAAAGGTGGGCAAAGTCTAAGGCCTGGACCTGTCCTGGTTTCCCGTCACCTGTCGGTCCATGGCAGCAGGACAGGTACAACACTCATGTTTTGAACACAAGGACTAAAGAGAAGCTTCTGAAACTTTCTCCTTGGCTGCAGAAAGGCAGCCAAGCAGCTCACAGATCTTCCTCAATATTTCAATCAAATGCTTACTTACAGTTGCCTGAGCTAATGAAATATCACTTCTTTAAACATTTTAAACTGATTGTTGTTGCGTGTGTGGTGCCACAGTGCACATATAGAGGGCAGAAGATGACTCTGTGGAGTCGCCTCCTTCCTTTCATCTGTGAGTTCTGGGGATTGAACTCAGGCCATCAGACAAGAGCAGCAAACGCCTTCACCTGCTGAGTCACTCCCGGCTTGAAATTATCACTTCTTTTGCTTTTGACGGTTTTAATTCCATCTCATGCTAATTATTTGGTTCTTAAATTCTTATTTATTCTTAATGTGTATATGATGTCTGTGTAGGGCTGCTCATGTGCCATGGTGTGCATGTGGAAGTTAGAGGACAGTACTCTGTGGGGTCAGTTCTCTCCTTCTACTTTTACATGCACTCTGGGGATCAATTCAAGTTGCCAGGTTTGCAAGGCACACACGTTTACCCATCAGCTATCTCAATGGAACTAGGATTACAGGTATGTACTTCAGTGTGGGTACTGTGTATCAAACGCAGATCCTTATGTACTGACTGAATCAACTCTCCAGTCCTAAAAAAAGTTCTTATAAAGTAACAGTAAAATATACATAACATAAAAATAATCATTTACAAGAGGCTCAAAATTTAAGGCTATTTATATGGTCTAAAAAAAAAAAAAAGAAATTATGGGGCCAGGGAGATGACTCAGTGAGAGAGAGAGAGAGAGAGAGAGAGAGAGAGAGAGAGAGAGAGAGAGAGAATGTGTGCGTGTAGATAGGTGCATCTTAGGGGCTAGGTAGTTAACCAGCCAGTCTAGCCAAAAAGGTGAGTTCCAGGTTCAGTGAAAGACCCTGTCTCAAAAAATAAGATAAAGGGGCTGGAGAAACAGATCGGTGTTAAGAGCAGTGGCTGCTCTTCCAGAGTACCCAGGAGCAATTCCCAGCACCCACATGGCAGCTCACAACTGCTTATAACTCCAGTTCCAGGGGATCTAATGTCCTTTTCTGGTTTTTGAAGGTACTGTTGTGAATAGACATACATGCAAATAAAATAATGAAGTATATATAAAATAATAATTAAATAATTAAAAAATAAAGTGGGAAACATCTCTGGCCCCCACATGCACACACTTACACACAGCTTTGTGTGCATGTAATTTACTTATTTATTTATTTGATTTTTTAAGACAGCATTTCTCTGTGTAGCCCTGGCTGTCTTGGAATTTGCTCTATAGACCAGGTGGCCTTGAACTCAAGAGATCTACCTGCCTCTGCCTCCTGAGTGCTGGGATTAAAGGCATATGCCACCACTGCCCAGCTTTGTGTTTTATGTTTTGAAACAAAGTCTACTATGTAACCCAGGCTGGCCTTGAACTTTTGAATCTCTTACTTCAACCTTCCGAGTGCTTGAATTACTGGTATACATCACTATGTCTGGCCATTTATACAACTTCTAATTGTATAATCCAGTGGCATTATATGCATTAATATTCTTTTTTTTGGAAAGATTTATTTATTTATTATATATACAGTGTTCTGTCTGCATGTATCACTGCCCGCCAGAAGAGGGCACCAGATCTTGTTATAGATGGTTAATGAGCCACCATGTGGATGTTGGGGATTGAACTCAGGACCTCTGGAAGAGCAGTCAGTGTTCTTTTTTTTTTTTTGGTTTTTTTTTTTTTTTTTTGGTTTTTTCAAGACAGGGTTTCTCTGTGTAGCTTTGTGCCTTTCCTGGAACTCACTTGGTAGTCCAGGCTGGCCTCGAACTCACAGAGATCCACCTGCCTCTGCCTCCCGAGTGCTGGGATTAAAGGCGTGAGCCACCACCGCCCGGCCCAGTCAGTGTTCTTAATCTCTGAGCCATCTCTCTAGCCTGTATTAACACTTTTTTTGTAAGATTTACTTTTATTTTCTGTGTGATTATTTTGCCTGGATATATGTATGAGTACCATGTGCGTGTCTGATGCCTGCAGAGTCCAGAAGAGGGCTGGACTTGGAGTTAGGGGTGGTTGTGAGCCATCTTGTGAGTGCTAGCAATCAAACTGGGTCCACACTTTATCCATTCACCTGACAGGCACTGGGGCTGTATTAGCTACTGTCCACATCGCTGCAACAGAACACCTGAGAAAAGCAACCTAAGGAGGGAGGGGCTTACTACAGCTCACAGTTCTAGGGTCCAGTCCATTATGGCAGAGAGGTCACGGCAGCAGGCGCTCCAGCAGGCGCTCCAGCTGACCACTGCCTCCCCAGTCAGGAAGCACAGACAGACCAATGCTGATGCTCAGCTAGCTTTCTTCTCATTTATTCTGGGACTCCCACCCATGGAATGGTAGCCCCACATTTAGGGTGGATCTTCTTACCTCAACCTAACCTAGAACTTCTTACAGGCAAGGCTGAGGTCTGTTTCTATAGCGATCCAATCCAGCCATAGCTATCATAGGTTGTTCCACTGGATTAGACTCCGCTCTTCAATTCTTTGCTGTGTGGAAGATTCCACCCTTCCTTACAGTCTTCCTTCACTGTGCAGTCACTGTGACCTCAGTCACTGTACAGTGAGGAGGACTGTCCAGAGCCCCAACAGCCCACAGGTGAAGTGAGATGTGAGCAGAACAAGGGCTTGGAACCCTAGTGGTGGGTGACTCGGCCTCCAGGCAGCCTGCTGCGAGGGTGGTGGAGGTCTGGCCAGAGCTGCTTCTCTAGTCTCCTTGTGGAGGAGCACAGAGGTGGAGAACAGTTACTCACGCTCTCCCCCCGTGGCAGCTACCACAGCCCTGGCCAGTCTCCTGCCAGCATGGCTCACAACCAGCTGGGGACCACTGTACTAGTAGCCCATGTCTGATCTGGGACAACCTGTCTTCCTTATGACTCAGTAGAAAAAGAATGACTTCTGACCCTGCAGGCTCCATTTGGAATGTAACCTGACCAGCACACAGAGGTGAGCTCATGAGCCCCTGAAAAAGCAATTCCGGCAGTACCCTGCAGATAGATCTTCACTGCTTAGCCTGCCCACTTTACTAAGTTCTAAAACTTTTCCTTCCTTCCTTTCTTTCTTTTTTTTTTTTTAATATTTCTTTATTTTTTGGTTTTTCAAGACAGGGTTTCTCTGTGTAGTTTTGCGTCTTTCCTGAATCTCGCTCTGTAGACCAGGCTGGCCTTGAACTCACAGAGATCCACTTGGCTGAGATTAAAGGTGTGCTCCACCGCCATCCGGCCCTTCCTTCCTTTCTGTCTTTTTGGATACTGGCCATCCGGCCCTTCCTTCCTTTCTGTCTTTTTGGATACTGGCCAAAATCCTAAGCATGCTCGAACTGCCTCTTCTCTGGACTTTCTCACCATGTCTCTGAAGAACCCAGTTTCCAACTTTATACAGAGGCTGAGCTACATTGCTGAACACACCTTTCATGAACTCTAACTTAACAGGCAACTATTTCTCCTCTTCTCCGTCTCTCTCCTCCTTGCAATTGATGAAATTTACAGCTCAGCTGTCCTGTTATTGTTCTCAAATTCTAATATAAGGGATAATGTCTTTGAGCTTCAAAAACATCAAAACAAACAAACAAAAAACAAAGAAAAGAAAAAGTAGTCCACACTAGACAAGGTGGCACACACTTATAATTCCAGCAATCTGGAAGATAAGACAGGAAAATTAATAGTTTGAGGCCAATCTGGGCTACAATTATTTATTCCAGGCCAGCCTCAGCGGTCTCAAAAGAAAGCAAAAACAATGCCGGGCGGTGGTGGCACACGCCTTTAATCCCAGCACTCGGGAGGCAGAGCCAGGCGGATCTCTGTGAGTTCGAGGCCAGCCTGGGCTACCAAGTGAGTTCCAGGAAAGGCACAAAGCTACACAGGGAAACCCTGTCTCGAAAAACCAAAAAAAAAAAAAAAAAAAAAAAAGAAAGCAAAAACAAACTAACAAAAAGCAATTTGTAAGCATGTGAAAGAAAACAATTAGATTTCTTAAAAACTACTCAACTGAGGAGAGTGGGAATGAAGTCTGGTCCCTGATAACACTGGAGGTTTTGGTTGCAAGCCTTCTGAAATCTTCTGGAAAAATACTTACAGTCATCACCTACAGGTCCTGCAGAACACTGAGCAGGAGGATCCCTCTGTAAGTCAGTCAGTTCCTAGAATACAAGAAAGGAGTAAGGTTGCTATATGGCTAGGGAGCTGCATTTACACACTGGTCGTCTAGCTAATTCTGCTGGCACAAGTCCTTCAGAGACAGTTGGAAGGAAGGCCAGGCAGGAGCCTACTTACAGAGGTGGACACAAATGGTAGAGTTCATGGTGACAGACTAGGGAGATGGCTCAGCACTTAAGAGTACTACTGGCTGCTCTTCCAGATCAGAGTTCTGACCCCAGCACCCACTTCAAGGGGCTCCAGGGGATCCAATACCCTCTTCTGGCCTCCAAGGGCATCCTTCCACATGTGACATAGACATACACAAAGACACACAGACATATGAACAAAGTAAAAATATAGAGTTCAAAGTGAGCAATAGTTTGTACATAGGAACCAAAGAAAGATCAAACTGAGATCCAGATGACATCTTTTGGGGTTCCTGGTTACAACTTGTTATTTTGTCTTTTTTTTTTTTCAAGAGCTGAGGACCGAACCCAGGGCCTTGTGCTTGCTAGGCAAGTGCTCTTACCACTGAGCTAAATCCCCAACCTCCCTGGTTACAACTTGTGAAGCCACCTATGATGGCTAACCTTGGTTGTCAACTTGACTATATCTGGAATCATTAAAATGCAAGCAGCTAGACACACCTGTGAGAGATTTTCTTGACTGGATGATGTGAGGTGGGAAGACCCATGCTGGCCACACCATCTGGTGGCAGCCCACATAAAAAGACATGGGAGGAGGCTTTTACTGTTTTCCTGCTTGACCTCACTCTTGCTGGCAAGCTCATCTACCCTGCAATCCTTTGCTAGTGGTAAAAACTACTTCTGTGGGATTCCAAGAGACTGAAGACTAGCTGAGACATCCAGCCTGGTGATTAAAACAACCACCAAATTCTTCACTTTTCCACACAGAGACAGTCACTGTTGGACTAGCCAGACCACAGCCTGTAAGCCACTCTACCATGTCCCACAGATATTTTCTCATTCTATCAGTTCTGCTCCCCTAGAAAACCCCAGCTAATACACCATTGAGAGGAACGTCACACTGTGAGCCTCGCTAGTCCGACAGCTATCAAACTGCCTAAAAGCACATCCTGGTATCACCATTGTGGAGTCAAGCCTTAGAGACCAGAGAGAACAAACAGCCAAGGAGGAGCCTAATATTAGAATGCCCGTTCTTGTGAGTCTGTCAAGGGATTCTAATAGACTCTGGACATTTTGAAATGACCTCTGTCCTGTCTTCTTGGATGTCTGTCTAGAGCCTAAAACCCTAAGATGTTATTCTAGTTCATGCCTGATCTTGGGGAACGGAATCATTTTCTCTGCCCAAAGGGCTCCAGTTTCACCTCTCCCTCATGTTTCTTTCCAGGCACCAGTCAAGAACTTCCTTTCCTCACTACATCCAACTGCTGTACAATGGGACCATGAGTATACTTTCAGGGTCCCCTAGATAGGGCCACTGGAAAGGTAACCCAACTGCCACACCTGATGACCCCAATCAGTTCAAAGAAGCCATCTAGACTGTCGTCCTAATTCCCTAATGATAGTTGGGGTTAATTCTTCAAGAGGGGGAAATGATGAGAGCAGGAAATAGCACTTGTTACTCTTACAGAGGATACAGGTTTGATTCCCAGCACCCAAATAGTGGTTCACAACTGTTCATACTCCAGTTCCTGGGGATCACATGTCCTTCCTTCCTTCCTTTCTTTTTCTTTTTCTTTTTCTTTTTCTCTTTCTCTTTCTCTTTCTTTCTTTCTTTTTTTTTTTTTTGGTTTTTCGAGACAGGGTTTCTCTGTGTAGTTTTGGTGCCTGTCCTGGATCTCGCTCTGTACACCAGGCTGGCCTCCAACTCACAAGATCCGCCTGGCTCTGCTGGGATTAAAGGTCCAGCTTTTCTTTTTTTAAAGATTTATTTATTTATTTATTATTTATACAGTGTTTTGCAAGCAAAAAACCCATACACATAAACTAAAAATAAATACATCTTTTGTTTGGTTGGTTTTTTGTTTGTTTGTTTTTTTCGAGACAGGGTTTCTCTGTGAAGCCCTGGCTGTCCTGGATCTTGCTCTGTAGACCAGTATGGTCTCGAACGCACAGAGATCCACCTGCCTCTGCCTCCCGAGTGCTGGGGCCTGGCAAAGTAAATATGTCTTTTTAAAAAGGGGTCATAAATATTATTTTGCAGTATAGAAAATTAGAACTTTTAATGCTATGTGCAAATGTGGATCACAAAGTACAGCACACCTTTATTCCCAGTTCTCTGGAGGTAGAGGCAACTCTGTGAGTTCAAGGTTGGCCTGGTCGACATAGCAAGTTCCAGGCTTGTTAGGACTGCATAGAGACCCTGTGTCGAAAAACAAACCAAAACAGAATTACAGCAATTTTTTTTTTTTTTTAAGGAACAGGAAAAGAACGAAAAGTAGATATGCTAAAATGTTTACAAATGATAACGGGTGGTGAGGGGAACAGAACTGGGTTTTATTTTATTTTTCTGCGATGCATCTCCCAAATCCTAGGTTAACGGATTAATAGCGGACTGTTACCTACAGGCTGAAGGACTCCAGCGGCTCAGCCTCCCTGGCTAGTTACCTTGTTAGGCATTCCCACGCCTCCCGAAACGCCAGCCCGCGGCTGCGCGCGCACGTGACACGGTCGCGTGACCCCGCCCCCGCGCGCCGCTCGGCGCACGCACCCACCTCCTAAATCCGGGCCGGCGGCGATTCCGCCTCGCGCGGGGCAGGTGTCAACGCGCCCCGCCGCGGGTTTCTAGTCGCTGCGGCAGCCCGCGGAGTGGAAGGGCGGGAGGATCCCGTGTCCGCCACTCTTACCTTCTGGATCCGTTTCAGCGCCATGCTCCCGCCGCTCGGGCCCGGCCGGCCCCGCGGGGCTGCCTGAGGCGGCCGCCTGGGCCGCAGCGCTGCACGCCGGGAGCGGCGGGCTGCGCGTGCGCGCCGCGGGGCACTGTGAGGCGGTTGTCGTCCGCGCCGCGGGCCCGCGCCGGAGAACTCGGTGGCGCACGGTCAGTTACTTGGCCACTGTCCCCGGGCCCTGTGGCGCTGGTTTCGGCTAAGCGAGGGCCTAGGCACCGGGACGTGCCTGACACCGCAGGTGCCACACGCAATGCTCTCTGCCCCCGCCTGGGCTCCTCCCCAGGCGGTCACATAACTCCTGAGCTTAGTGGTTCTCAGCTCTGTAAGTATTCACTCGCTTTTATACGCTTTCTGGGCAGAAGTGTTAGAGATATTTCCGAATACGCGTAGGTGCTGAGTACAAATACATCTACATGTCTGGAGAGCTGCATTTTCAGTAGTACTTAGGTAGTTTTCATGCACTGCGGAGGTTGAGACTCAGTCCGAAAGAGCACGCCCCAAGCGAAACTGTTTCCCCAAGACATCTGAGGTGTCTAAGACCGAATAGTTACAAACTAATCAATATGTCACAAAATCAGTGTGTGATAGATTGTAGCCAAAAATCTTAAAAATGAAGTAGGATACAATAAAATACACTGTATCAGCATATCTCATACAGTAAAGAATCGGGAAGGTTCTGTTACTGTGTCTGCAAATACCATATATTTATCTAGACATATACTTAATAGGTTATGCTAATACAATAACTCCAGGACCAAAGGTGTTCCAAGGTCAGCCTGGGCAACATAGTGAGTTTGAGGCTAGCCTAAATTGCAGAGTAAGAGCATGTTTTTAAAAAGGGGGGAATGCCAAAAGGAATGTTTAAAACACATTGGAGGAGTTGAGATGGCTTAGTGAGGAAGAGTGCTTGCTGTGCAGGCTTGAGGACCTGTGTTCATGAGCACCCACATAAAAAGTGGAGCATGGCTGTTCATGCCTGTAATCGGAGGTGGTGGTGACAGGAGGATCCCCAGAACTAGCTTAGCCTAGACAGTGAGCTTCCAGTTAAGTGAGAGACCTTTCGTCAAAGGCAGTAATGTAGAGAGCAGTGGAGAGCGACGCCTGACATTCTACTCTGGCCTCTTGTGTTCCTGCACCACATGCGTACAAACCCTGCCCCAAACGAAAACAATGTCTTGAACACTTAATGTGCTTTCCCAGCCAGGTCCCTGCAGTCCGTTCTCCTATTCCCCTAATCTGTCTTAAACACATGTCATGAACTGTCCTCCAAACGTAAGCCTTGCCTAGCTTCATCCTCTTCCAAACCCCTTAAGGAAGCCCCATGGCCTATAGGAATACATTTAGGACTCTCCGTGATCCCTCAGGATCTAGTGTCCATGAGCTTTACTTCTTACCTCTGGTTCTGCATTTTCTCTAGGGCCAGGCACTGGTGGCTCACACATTTAATCCTAGCACTCAGGAGGCAGAGGCAGGCAGATCTCTGAGTTCCAGGCCAGCCTGGTCTACAGAGTGAGTTCCAGGACAGCCAGGGCTACACAGAGAAACCCTTGAAAACACAGGAAGGGGGGGGGGATTTTTACAGGTACTTCTTTTGCATTATTTATTTATTTGGAGACAGGGTCTCTCTACATAGCCCTGGCTGTCCTATAACTCACTCTGTAGACCAAATTGACCTCTAACTCACAGAGATCCACCCACCTCTGTGTCCTGAGTGCTGGGATTAAAGGCATGTGCCATCATTTCCTGCACCTTCTGCATTTGAAAATCTTGGCTTACTTTCTTTTTTCTTTAGATTTATTTTATATGTATGAATTCGTTTTGCTTGTATGCTTGTATGTATGTGTCCACAGAGGTTTGAAGAAGATAGAAGGGTTGGATTTCCTAGAACTGGAGTTAAAGATGGTTGTGTGCCGCCGTGAGCCACCATGTGGTCCTTGGTCCTTTGCAAGAACAAATGCTCTAAACCACTGAGCCATCTCCCTAGCACCTTGGCCTGCTTTCATCTTTGGTTTTTCTTGAGCAATCTTCCAAAGCCAGTTTGAGCATCACTCACGTGCTTAGGTAAAAGGTCTTCCTTTTGGAGTCATATTTTCACAGCACACATTTCCAGCTGGGTACAGTGGCTGTCACTTTTACTCCAGTGACTTTGGAAGCTGAGACAGGAATATTGTGAGTTGGGGGCCAACCTGGGCAGTGTATAAGAATCTATCATTTTTTAAAAAAAGTAAACAAATGTAATGGGGGGTTGGTGCCTTGCGCCTGGTATCCCAGCACTTGGGAGGCTGAGACAAAAGGATTGCTGTTAGTTCCAGGCCAGACTGGGCTACGAAGTGAAACTGTTTTTCAAAAAAACCAAAAAGAACCAGGCATGATGGCACAAACCTAGCACTTAGTCCTAGCACTTAGGAGGCGGAAGCAGATCTCTGTGAGTTTGAGGCCAGCCTGGTCTGTATAGCACCAACCAGGGTTACATAGTGAGATGTTGTCTCCCAAAAAGCAGACAAGGAAACAACAATAAAACAACCCCTCCCCCAACGTTGGTCACCTTGCAGAGAATAAGAGACTTTGGAACACTCAGCCCTAAATAGGACATCTGTATACTGTCTCCTCAAAGCTCAGAGATCTATGTGGATGAGGGGCAGAAAGACTGTCGGAGCCTGAAGTGATGTATAACTTCAAGGGAAGAGCTTTTTCCAGACACGCCAGGCAGATGCATGTGTGAGCTCACATACTCACAAGGAGGCCGAGGCAGGCAGATCCCCGAGTTTCAGGTCAGCCTGGGCTACACAGAGAAACAAGACTCGCACAAGCTCAAGTCAGACAAGTCCAGCACTGACAGGGGAAGTGGACACCCTAGCCAAGAAGCTCTTTGCAAGAAATAGCTGTTGAGAGAGGGAAGACCAGTTCCCTTCAGTGGAGTGACGCTGGGTATGTCAGCCACATTCCAGTCAGTCAACACAGTTTGGACTTCATGTATTTGTGTGTGTGTGTGTGTTTACATTCAAAAAAGGGGATAAATACTATAGAATTGTATTACATGAAATATATAAAATATAAAAATTTATAGAGACAGAAAGATTAGACATTATCCCAAGATGGAGAAGAAAGGAATATAGAGCAATGATTTCCTAAGTATAGAATCCCAGTCTTGTGTGATGGAAAAGTCCCACAAATGGACAGTAGTATCAGGACATAATATCACGAATGTAATAAATCAATACAATTAATGTAATTAATGAATATCAAATATAATTATTGAATGAATACAGCAAATGTAATCAATGTAATCAATGAATACCACAAATGTAATTAATACCATGAGTGTAATTAATATCATGAGTGTAATTTAAAAAAAAAATTTAAAAAAAAAAAAAAGAAAAAGAGGGCTGAAGAGATGGCTCAGTGATTAAGAGTACTGGTTGCTCTTCCAGAGGTTCTGAGTTCAATTCCCAGCAGCCACGTGGGATCTGATGATCTGATGACCTCTTCTGTCATGCTATACAGGAAGACAGATCACAGATATACATAAATAAATAATTTTTTCTTTTTTCTTTTTTTAAAACATTTTTAACTATAACTTCTCTGCTTTGGGGGAGGAAAGGGTTTATTTAGCTTACACTTGAGCAGTGCTGTTCATATTGAAGGAAGTCAGGACAGGAACTCAAACAGGGCAGGGACCTGGAGACAGGAGCTGATGCAGAGGCCATGGAGCGGTGCTGCTTATTGGCTTGCTCCCCATGGCTTGCTCAGCCTGCTTCCTTAAAGAACCCAGGACCACCAGCCCAGGGATGGGCCCTCCTCCATTGATTACTAAATGAGAAAATGCCTTACAGCTGGATCTCCTGGAGGCATTTCCTCAACTGAGGCTCCTTCTTCTCTAATGACTCCAGCTTGTGTCAAGTTGACATACTAAACCCGCCAGTACAACTGACCCATTGTCAACTTGACACACAAACCATCACTATTAAGTCACATATCTTCCGTTCTTACTCATCCCCAAGATCTCACATTAAAATCATAAATAATTTTAAAAGTCCCACAGTCTACAAATTCAAACACATTAAAACTTCAGTCTCTTTAAAACATCCAATCTCTTTTTAAAGTTCAAGTCTTTCATCTGTGGACTCGTTTAAAAATCAAACTTAAATACCTTCTTCAAGTGGGAAGAACCAGGGCACCTTATCTGAATCAAGCAAAACAAAGCTCCAACAGTATAAATAACTCAATGTCCGATTATCTGGGATTTACTCACGATCTTCTGGATTCCTTCAAAGGGCTTGTATCACTTCTTTGGCTCTGCCCTCTGCAGCACACACAGCTCATCTTCTAGGCTCCAGCTGGCTCCACTGCACTGCTGCTGCTGTTCTTAGTGGTCATCCCATGGTACTGGCATCTCCAAAATGCTGGGGTCTTCTACTCAAACTGGGCTGCACTTCTATCAACAGCCTCTCATCGGCTCTTTTCATGGTGCCAAGCCTCAACTTCTTTGCATGACCCCTTCAGTCCTGTGCCTTCAACTGCTACTGAGGCTGCACCTTCACCAATGGCCACTTCTGGTCTCTCATAGTGCCAAATCTCAGCAACTATCCATGATCCCTTCGTGCCTTCAAAACCAGTACCACCTGAGTGACTCTACACATTACCAAGTCCTGCCACCAGCATGAGGTACAACCTTGGCTATCCCTGGAACACAGCTTCTCTGTGCTCTCAGCAAACACTTCCCTCAGGAGTTCACCTCAGTGATGCTGGGCTCTTGTTAATCACCACTAATTTCTTAGCTCCAGCTGACCAGCATCAAGTGTCCTAGTAACGTAGAGTACTAGGACACTTCGGTAGTTCCGGTATCTGGTTAATCACATCTGGTTCTTCAGCCCCAGCTAACCAGAACCACAGACTCTTAAATCAAATTAGCAAACATCCCTGCTAGAGTCTTTAATATTTCCTCTGAAATTTCACAAACCAGGCCTCCATCTTCTTCATTGCTCTCAACATTCTTACCTTCCAAGTTCCCACAGAGCTCTTTATACTCAATGGCTCTTCCAGCCCAAAGTTCCAAAGTCCTTCCACAATCCTCCCCAAAATATGGTCAGGTCTGTCACAGCAATACCCCACTATGCTGGCACTAATTTGTCTTAGGGTTTCTATAGCAGTGATAAAACATCATGACCATAAAAGAAGTTGGGGAGGAAAGGGTTTATTTGGCTTACAGTTCAACATTGCTGTTCATCACTAAAGGAATCCAGGACAGTAACACAAACAGGGCAGGATCCCAGAGGCAGGAACTGATACAGAGGCCATGGACAGGTGATGCTTACTAGCTTGCTTCTTTATTTTTTTTTTAAGATTTATTTATTTATTATGTATACAGAAGAGCGTGCCCCATCTCATTACAGATGGTTGTAAGCCACCATGTGGGTGCTGGGAATTGAACTCAGGACCTCTGGAAGAGCAGTTGGTGCTCTTAACCTCTGAGCCATCTCTCCAGCCCGCTTGCTTCTTTTTTAAAAAGAAAAAAAGACTGAAGTTGGATGTGCAGGGAGGTCGGGAGGTGGGGGAGGGGAAAGAATATGATCAAAATACAGTGTATGAAATTCTCAAAAAATAAAAATCATTTAAAAAAAAAAAAGAAAAAGACCAGCTCACTCCTTGTAATCTTAAGTACTTGGGAAGCAGAGGCCAGAGGATAACTGGGTTCAGGGGCAGTTATGACTACACAGTGAGACCCTACCCAATAAAACAAAACAAACCCTGGAATAAAAATAAATAAATGTTAGTTCATGGACCACCCATCCCATATTATTTAGCCCCCCCTGCACATACCTTGGAACAACTGACTCCAAATTTTTGTAATAGTTGATATATTTGTCTGAGAATAGAAGCCTAGTGAACCTGAGTGAATGATAGCTATTCCTGGGTAGTGGCTTTATTAATGACTGATTTTCAAGGTCTTCTACAGAGAATTTGATTATTTTCATAATCCAGGAAAAAAAACCCAACCAGACCTCCCTAGAATGAAAAAGGAAAACTTTGACTGCTACTTTCTGTTGGTGACTTAGCCCATAGCTGTCTAAACCTTTTATTATGCATATGCATAATATTTAATATTTTGCCCTCCGAAATAATGTTAGGTATATAGATGCATTGCAGAAATAACACAAAAGGCTAGGCATGGGCCTAGAGAGATGGGTTAGTGGTTAAGAGTACTGGTTGCTTTTGCAGAGGATCCAGGTTCTATTCCCAGCACTCCCATGTGGCTCACAACCATGTGTAATTCCAGTTCCAAGGGATCCATGCCTTCTTTCTGGCCTCTGGGCACCAGGCATGCACATACTACACATACATGAATGCAGGCAAAACACGCATAAAATAATCTAAAAAAAAAATTAAACAAGCCAGGCAAGATGGCTCAAACCAGTAATCCTAGCACTTAAGATGTAGAGGTAAACAGATCTGAAGTTCAAGGTCATTCTTGGCTGCATACAAATTTGAGGCCAGCCTGGGCTATATGAGACTCTATTTCAAACAAAACCCAATAACAACAAAACACCTGTGGGAAGGGGAGAGTTACTACTTTATTAGATTTAACACCTATATAAAGAAATCAGAAGGCATACAAAGAGAAAAATATGGCCCATTCAAAAGGGGGGGAAAGTATATTCCTGAAAAAAGCCCCATGGCAGCTCTACATAACAAAAATTCAAGCAAAAACTGGCATTGTGGTGCAGAGCTGTGACCTCAGCACGGAGGAGGGATGTGGGAGCAGGAGAAGCAGAAATCCAACATCATTCTTTGCTGTATAAGAAGGGCCATATGAGACCATGTCTCAAACAATAACAAGCTCAAAGATATAGTTTTGGTGGCTGGAAAGATGGTTTAGTAGTTAAGGGTACTTGTTGCTTTTGCAGAGGACCCAGGTCTGGTTCTCAGCACCTACACAGAGGCTCACAGACATACTCATCTCCAGTTCCAGGGAATCCCAATGCTTTCTTCTGGCTTCCACGGTCACCAGGCATGTACATACATACATGCAGGCAAACATTTTTTTTTTTTTGTAAGATACATGATGTGGTAGTTTGATTGGGGGGGTGATTGGAATAATTGGCCCCCACAAGCTCATAGGGAATGGCATTACTAGGAGGTGTGGCTTTATTGGAGTAGATATGGCCTTGTTGGAGGAAGTATGTCACTGTGGGGGTGGGCTTTGAGGTCTCATATATGCCCAAGCCATGCCCAGTGTCATAGTCCATTTTCTGTTGCCTTCTGATCAAGATGCAGCCAGCACCATGTGCCTACATGCCACCATGCTCCCCGCTGTGATGATAATGGACTGAACCTCTGAAACTGTAAGTGAACCACTCCAATTAAATGTTTTCCTTTATAGGAGTTGCCATGGTTATGGTGTCTCTTTACAGCAATAGAAACCCTAAGACACACGAAAAACAGTTTCTTATGTGTATGTTATGTTTGTGTATCACATGTGTGCCTGGTGCCTGAGGAAACCAGAAAAGGATGTTGGATTTTCTGGAACTGGAGTTATAGATGGTTGTGAGCTACTCTGTGGGTACTGGGAGTGTAACCCATGTCCTCTGCTGGAGCAGCTAGTGTTCTTAACTACTGAGCCATCTAACTGCTAAAAAGATACATTTTTAATATTACATTTTTTTTGTGGATGGGTGTATGGGTAGGTATGTGAGACAGTTCTCTCCTCCCATCATGTGGGTCTCGGGCATTCAGTTTGGGTCATCAGGCTTGAATTTGGTTGGTGGCAGGTTCCTTTACCTATTGAGCTAGCTCATTAGCTCTCTCAAAGATAAATTCTTAAAGATGTTCAAAGAATTGATAATGTGGAAAAATTTAAGAAAAGTATGTGTGCATAAGATACCAAGGCGACTGAAGAGATTCAGATGCTGAAAAGAAGCCAGGGGTGGTGAGGTGTGCTTGTCCTGGTTAGTTTTGACTATCAACTTGACACCGACTAGAGTCACTTGAGAAGAGCTTCAGTTGAGAAGTTATCTAGATCAGTTTGGCCTGTGGCTATGTCTGTGGATATCGTCTCGATAATTGCTATAGGAAGGCCCAGCTCACAATGGGCAACTCCATTCTCTAGTCAGGTGATCCTCAAGTCTCTAAGAAGCTTAAGCATGAGCCTGTGTGGCAGCCAACCAGCAACCATGGTCCCTGCTTTATTTATCTCTTTGGGAAGTGAGTCCCATGGCTGGAGGTAATGCTGTGTGGGATAGCAAGCAGGCCTGCGTCCCATGCTGTCTTGACTTCCTTTAGTGATAAACTGTGACTTGGAGTTTTAAGTCAGTGAGGCTTTCCTAAATTGCTTTTGGTCAGAGAGTTTCATCACTGAAATGAAATGACAACAATGCTTGGAAGCCTAGCACTTGAAGTGGAGGCATAGGGCTCTTAAACTGGAGTTCAGCCTAGACTGTTAGGAGACCTGGGTTTTTTATTTTTGTTTTTTGAGACAGGATTTCTCTCTGCGTAGCCCTGGGTGTCTTGGAACTCACTCTGTAGACCAGGCTGGCCTTGAACTCAGAGATCTGCCCACCTCTGTCTTCCGAGTGCTGTAATTAAAGGTGTGCGCCACCACCGCCTAGCTGGGTTGTTTTTTTTTTTTTTCCTTTTCCCAAGACAGGGTTTCTCTGTGTAGCTTTGCGCCTTTTCTGGATCTCGCTCTGTAGACCAGGCTGGCCTCGAACTCACAGAGATCCGCCTGCCTCTGCCTCCCGAGTGCTGGGATCCTGTGCCACTACCGCCCGGCAGTTTTTGTTTTTTAGTGTAGCTTTTACTTAATTCACAGTTCTAACAATTAGACACATAAGGTTGGATGGCTGTAACTGCTCAATTTCTGCCTCATGGTGCTCCATGGTGAAAATCTCCAAGGTAAGCAGTAGTGCAAAAAGACAAAGGTGCTGAACTCCTATGATTGCTAACTCATTCCCTCAAGAAAAGCATTCTAGAGCTAGAGAGATGGCTGTACTCTAAGTCACCTGTATTGTGTAAAACAGTGGCACAGCCTGTGGGTTGCCCTGAGAACATTTTATAAGCAGCCTTTGACTGGATTTTGAAGTTGGAGGATCTTGCTCTGGATGCACAAGTAAATACAACCATCAGCCAACAATAGGGGTAGGTATCATCCACGGAGCACAGTCTGATTAATGACTTACTCCTGGAAGAAGAGAGGGAGCTATTCTGTAAATTTACTGGGGCAAATGGAGACTTTGGGGGTATGTGGGCAGATTAAAATCATATCAAACAAGTCAGGCCCAAGAACTTATCTGACATGCTAGCCGCTAGTCTGGAGAAAGGGTGTAATTCCTTCAACCTGGACCTTAGAAAGTGGTAGATACCTAGTGGCAATGGCCCCATCTACCCTGTCATCTGATCCTTGGGGTGTGACAGATAGAGAACTCTAGACTACCCTTGGAGTCTCAGTTAGTCTTGGTCCACTACTGTTGACATGCTCTACTTGCTTGCTTCCTGTATACCTGAACTTGGTATTTCTTACTCTTAGCCCTGGTTCTGCCTTTGACCTTGGAGCTGGAATGTTGCAGCTTTACTTTCAACCCTGTCAACAGCTTCTTCCATTGTCTTAGTCACTGTCCTACTGCTGTAAAGAGACACCATGACCAAAGCAACTCTTATAAGAGAAAGCATTTAATTGGGACTTGCTTACAGTTTCAGACGTTTAGTCCATTGTCATCATAGTGGGAGCATGGCAGCAGGAAGGCAGACATGGTGCTGGAGGAGTAGCTGAGAGTTCTACATCTTGAGCTACAGGCAGGCAGGAAGAGAGAGACACTGACTGGGTTGGCTTGGGCTTTTGAAACCCCAAAACCCACCCCTAGTGACACACTTTCTCCAACAAGGTGCCACCTCCTAATCCTTCTCAAGTAGTGCCCCTCCCTGATGACTAAACATTCAAATATATGAGCCCTATGAGAGCCATTCTTAGTCAGACCACCACACCAGTGGTTGGTTTGGGTTCATTGTGTTAGCAATATAGATTCTACTTGCATTTCTCTTAGTCTCCTTGAACTCTAATATAGCCTCCTTAACTTGTATTCTTCCTGTAAACCATGCATGTATATAGGTATATTTACTCTGTGCTATGTGATATGAGAGTTAGTAATTAAGATTGGAATAAAGGGGCTGAGGAGATGATCCAGTGGTTAAGTGACTGATATTCAAGTGCAAAGACAGGAATTCAGATCTCCAGAAGCAAGGTAAATGCCAAGTGGGTGTTGCAACTGTAATTTCAGCCTCAGAAGGCAGGGACAGATTGTGCACAGACAAGCTGACTAGGGAGACTAGCCATATTGGCCTGAGCTCGGGGTTTTATTGATAGACTCTGCCTCCTTGAATAAAAATAATCGATGGTAACTGGATGGTGGTGGCACATGTTTGTAATCCCAGCACTAGGGAGGGCAGAGGCAGATGGATCTCTATGAGTTCAAGGCCAGCCTGGTCTATAAAGCAAGTTCCAGAACAGCCAGAACTGTTACACAGAGAAACTGTGTCTTGAAAAACAAAAACAAACAAAAAATGATGGTAATGATTTCCAACATCAATGTCAGGATTCCACGTGCACACATGTATGCCCACACATGCATGCACCCAAGGAAAAAAATATTGTAATGAAAGGCTCTGCATTTGCCTTGGCCAGATTACCAAGGTAAATAGGATTATCTAGTTGCCACTGAAACCATTGAATCTTGTGAATTTATCCATACTTGATAAATTCTGACACTGTAGAAAGATACATGTTTGACTGCGTTTCTAGCATAGTATGCTCACTCACTATATAGAGAATGACCTTGAACTTTTTACTCTCCTGCCCCCTCCTCTGAGTGCTGGGATTACAGGGTTTTGCTACCACATCCAGTGTTTTCCCATTTGTAAGCTTTTCTTTTTCTTCTGTAAATGGTTTTTGTATGTGTGTCTAATTGCCTTGACAGAATTTTTAGTCCTATTCTATAGTACTCACTCACTATAGAAGTGATTAAAATAGGCTTCTCTCCCTCTCTCTCCTTCCCTCTTTATTCCTCCCTCTCCTTCCTCTCTTCCCTCTTTTCCTCTTCTCCTTCTCCTTCCTCCCCATCTTTCCCTTCCTTTTCTTTTCTTTTTGTGACAGGGTCTCACTAGGAAGCTCAGACTTATCTCAAACTCACTAAGTATTGCCCTGGCTGGTTGTGAATTCAGTCCTCCTGCTTCAACGCCCTGAGTGCTGGCATTACTGATGTGAACCACCATTTAGTTCTGGAGACCTAACCCAGGCCGGCAGTGTCGGTGTTCTGTTTTAGGAGGATCGGTTGAAGAGAGAGGGTCACTACAGAATGTAATTCAGGCTTTCTGCAGTAGGGAGGAACAGTTTCTGTGAACTGAAACCTGAACAGCTGTGCAAAGGCCTATTTATTGACTGTTACATGAAAGTTGTTTTTTGGGTAAAACAAGATCTTCATACCCCTGATGTAATCTATATGTTTTCTGAGTGAAAATATCACACCCTGCAACTTTAGTCCTTATTGTATACTGCTTGAAGTACCCAATAATGCAAGACATTCCAGGTGTGCCAGGACCATCTTATGACCAAAGTCATGCAAGGGCTGTAAAGCTCCTCCAGAAAAACAGCTCTATAGATAACAGAAAACAATCACTGTTTTCCACAATGATTTCTTCAAGGTCTAGGTACTTAGAGAAAACAACTGTTGCATTCTAATGTTCACCCTAGATACAAAGATTCTGCTGTTTTTCCCTCTACAGGAGATCTACAAATTGAGTATATCCCCAGCCTAGTATACATCCCTTTAATATGCTGTTGGATTAGATTTGCCTGGGGTTTTTTTTCTTTTCTTTTTTTCTTTTTTTTTTTTAAGAGTTTTCACTATGTAGTCCAGGCTGGCCTCAAATTTAGGATCCTTCTGCCTCCTTCTGAGTGCTAAGATTATAGGCAAGCCACTACTCCTGAAGAGAGGGTGGGGAGTGGGAGAGAGAAATTGAGATTGAACCCATAGCCTCACATATGGTAGGTATTCCAGCCTGTATTTATTTATTTAAAAAACTATGTGTATGTCTGTGTGGGTATGTGTACAAGTGCAGGTGCCCATAGAGGTCAGAAGGTGGTACTGATCCTCCATTTCTGTAGTTATAGGAGTTTGTGAGCCCCCAATATAGGTGTAGGGGACCTCTGGGAAAATTGTGCTGTGCTCTTAACTGCTCAGCTCTAGCCCCTACCCAGGCCATTTTTAAAAACCACTTTTTCTTTCTTTCTTTCTTTTTTCTTTTTCTTTCTTTCTTTTTTTTTTTTTTTTTTTTTGAGCTAGGGTCTCACTATGTAGCTCTGGCTGTCGTGTAACTCACAATATAGACCAGGCTGGCCTCAAACTAGCAGAGATCTACCTGCATCTTCCTCCTAAGTGCTGGCCATATGAGGATTTCTGTAGCTAAATTCTGAGGGATATCGGTCAGTAGGTTACTTTATCTAGTTTTATTTTATTTCAACTCCCCTCCCCTTTCTTTCCTGGACTTATTATTAGAGTAATGCTAGCCTTATGCAGTGAATTAGGAACCCATTGTTGTTTTAAAAATATAAGCGGCGCTGGTTACCACGCGGAAAGGTCATGAGGCACGAGCCACAACAAAATCAGAGCTTTATTAGGAGGAAGGGACAAAAGAACCAGGCCTGGGGAAGAAGCACATGCAGAGAGCAGAGAGAGAGATAGTGGGGGAGGAGAGAACAGAGAAGAGAGAGGAGGAGTCTGTGTCCAGCTTTTTAAGGATTCTAGTGCACATGCGCAAGTGGGCTTACTGAGCTATGCCAGGCATGTGCTGATTGCGTGACCGTGCTGCGTGCATTTGCGCAATCACACAGCACATGGATGACGTAAGACCCCTTGCTTAGCTCCTGAACTGCTCATGTGTGGTCATGTAGCTGGAGTAGTAGCAGAATCCTAACACCTATCCTTTCTCTTGTGTTTTTTTTTTTTTTTTTTTTTTTTTTTTTTTTTTTTTTTTTGGTTTTTCGAGACAGGGTTTCTCTGTGTAGCTTTGCGCCTTTCCTGGAACTCACTTGGTAGTCCAGGCTGGCCTCGAACTCACAGAGATCCGCCTGGCTCTGCCTCCCGAGTGCTGGGATTAAAGGCGTGCGCCACCACCGCCCGGCTCTCTTGTGTTTTTTAAGCAGGATTGGTGTTAACTTTCTAAACACTTGGAAGAACTCACTAGTGAAGACATTTGGTCCTAGACTTTGGAAGTTCTTGATTAGTGATTCAATGTTTTTACTTCTTGTAGGATCATTTAGATTTTCAGGGTTTTTCTTTTATTTATACATGTGTCTGTGTGGGCATGTCCATGAAGGCCAGAAGACAGCTTATGGGGATTGGTTCTTTCCTTCCACCACGTGAGTTCTGGGGATCAAACTTGGGTCCTCAGCCACGGGAACAGGTACCTTTACCTGTCGAGCCATCTTGCATGCCCAGATGTTCAGGTTTTTGACTTGGTTTATGTTATAGTTTGAATGTGACATGTCCCCCATGGCTTATGTGTTTGCATACTAGGGACACTGTTTGGGGAGTTGTAGAACCTTTAGGAGATGGGGCCTGGCCTAGCTAGAGCAAATGGGTTATGAAGTTCCAAGGGACCTTATGGGTTATAGCTTAGCTTAGCTTCTGGCCAGGCTCTGTGTCCTGATAGCCAATACAATGTAAGCAGCTGTCTCATGCTCCTGGCACCATGCCATGCATGCCGTGATAGACTTACTTTTGAACTATAAGCCAAAACAAATTCTTCCCCTCTTAAATTGCTGTAAGGTATTTTGTCACAGTGATAAGAAAAGTAACTAGTAACTTCAAAATAATTTACATTTCTGGGAATTTGCTCATTTCATCTGGATTATCTAATTTGTTGGTGTTCAACTCTTCTTTTCATTCTTTTTCCATAAGATTAATAGCAATGTCTCCATTAATATTTCTGAATTTAGTTGTATATACTTCCCCTCCTCTCCCCGGCCCCCGCTTTGTTAGTTTGGTAAATTGTAAACTTTTTTCCCCCAAGAAACAAAACCTGTTGTTTAATTATGTGTATGTGTGGCGGGGGGGTGGGGGAGCGGATACGTGCACATACATTTGGGTGCCCAAAGAGGCCAGAGGCACTGGCTCTTCCAAGAGCTAGAGTTGTTTCAGGCTGCTGGGAGCTGCCTGACATCAGTGCTGGGAACTGGACTCAGATCCTCTGGAAGAGCAGTATATGCCCTTATCTGAGCCATAGCTAGCCCCAGGAAACAACTTTGGGGGCTGGTAATACAGTTCAGTTGCTAGAATCTTGACTTAGCACACATAAATCTGTTGTGGTGGCACATTCTTATAACCCCAGCACTGGGGAGGTGGAGGCAGGAGGATCAGAAGTTCGAAGTCATTCTTGACTTAGAGCAGGTTGGTAGGGCTGGATGATTTAAAAACAAAAAACAAAAAACAAAAAAACATTTGAGTCTGATAACCCGGTGGCAGTGGTGGCACACACCTTTAATCCCAGTACTCAGGAGGCAAAGACAGGTGGATCTCTTGAGTTCAAGGCCAGCCTGGTCTACAGATCAAGTTCCAGGACAGCCAGGACTGTTACACAGAGAAACCCTGTTTTGAAAAACGAAAACAACCAAAATGAAACAAAAAATTTGGGTTTAAAGGGTTGGCTCTGTGGTTAAGAGCACTGTTGCTCTTGCAGAGGACCCAGGTTCAAGTCCCAGCACTCATATGGCAGCTCACAATGGCTTGTAACTCCAGTTCCAAGGGATCCATGTGGTATACAGATATGCATGCAGGTAAAACACTCATACACATAAAATAATAAATCTTTTTTAAAAGTTTAATAAAACATTCATTGAGTTGTGCAGCAGCAGACTATTTGCTTAGCTTTCAAAGGGTCTTGGGTTCAATCTTACCACTACAAATTAAATAAATAAACTTTGTTGATTTTTAAAATACTAATTCAAGTTAACTGAAATTATTTCTCACTGTAAGTTTTTGTGTTTTTTTTTAACTTTTTATTTGTTTATTTGGAGTGAGGCAGAAACCCTGTGTGTCAGGGTCCATGTGGAAAGGTCAGAGGACATCTTGTGGTAGTATCTTCTCTTATACCATCACATAGGTCTTAGGGATTGAACTCAGGTTGACAGGCACAGCAGCAGGTGCCTTTACCCACTGACCCATCTCACCAGCTTCTTTTGAGACAGAGGCTTATGTAGCATGTAGTTCATGCTAGCATCAGACTCCTTGTGTAGCAGAAGCTGGCCTTGAATTCCCGATTTTTCTGCCTCCATCTCCCAACAAGTGCTGATTGTAGGTGTGTGCCCAGTTCCATCTTACCATAAATTTTAAAGCATTCTACGACGTGGAGAACTCTCATGTGTTTTACAAGTTTTCTGAGAATAAATATTGCTGTATTTTATTTTTTATAAAGAGCAAGGTCCATAAATGTCCTTTTAGTCAAGCATGGTAGCACAACACATCTGTGATCCTTGTACTTGGGAGGTAGGGGTAGACGATCTGGCGTTTGAGGCACGTCTCATTCAGCTACACAGTGAGTTTTAGGCTACAAATGACCATGTCTCAAAACATCAAAAACATTCTCTTTTTCTTTTTTTATTCTCATGCATTCTTGGAGGTTGAGGCAGGAAGATAATGAGTTTGAAGAGGCCAGCCTGGGTTACACAAGACCTTTCTTTAAAAAAGAAAGGAGGAGCCGGGTGGTGGTGGTGGCGCACGCCTTTAATCCCAGCACTCGGGAGGCAGAGCCAGGTGGATCTCTGTGAGTTCGAGGCCAGCCTGGTCTCCAAAGCGAGTTCCAGGAAAGGCGCAAAGCTACACAGAGAAACCCTGTCTCGAAAAACCAAAAAAAAAAAAAAAAAAAAAAAGAAAAAGAAAGAAAGGAGGGCGCTGGAGAGATGGCTCACAGGTTGAGCACTGGCTGCTCTTCCAGAGGTCCAGGGTTGAATTCCTAGCAACCACATGGTGGCTCACAGCCATCTATAATGGGATCTGATGTTCTCTTCTGGCATACAAGTGTACATGTCGATAGAGCACTATATTCACAAATAAGTCTTTAAAAAAATATTTAAAAAAAAAAAAAAAGAAGGGCTTTTAAAGTGGTGGCACATACCTTTAATCCCAGCACTCTGGGAGGCAGAGGCAGAGAGGAAACACTAGAATGTTCTAGACTAGATTCCTAACTTTAAACAGGACTCTATGACTTCCCTTTAAAGAGGTAACTTGTATTAAATAAAATCATAAGAGAAAGATTCTGATCTTATAGGGTAGGTGTCCTTATAAGAAAAGAAGATGCACTGGAAAGATGGGTTGGTCGTTAGAAGCTCTTGCTGCTTGTGGTTTGAATGAGAGTGGCCCCCATAGGCTCATACGTTTTTTTTTTTTTATTTTATTTATTTTTTTCATTTTACAAACCAACCCCTGTTCCCTCTCCCTCCCTGGCTCACATGTTTTAATGCTTGGTCTCCAGTTGGTAGAACTGGTTAGGAAGGATTAGGAGGTGTGGCCTTGTTGGAGGAAGTGTGTCACTAGGGGTGGGCTTGGAGGATTCAGCAGACCATTCCCAGTCTCTCTCTGCCTCATGATTGTACCTCATGATTGTACCTCAAGATGTGAGCTCTCGGCTACTGCTTTAGGGCCATGTCCTCTGCTATGATGATCATGGACAATATTAGCCTCAAATAAACTCTCTCCTATAAGTTGCATTGGTCATGGTGTTTTATCACAACAATAGAAAATTAAGACAGAAGCTGGTACCAGGGGTGGGATATTAATGGACAGGCCCAACTATGCTATTTTCGGAGGAATGTGGACATTCCTCCAAATGTGAGACTTTGGACAGGGAGAGTGATTGGAGCTGTAATGGGGCTTAACAGGCCTAGTAGGAGCTTAGAAGATGACAATTTTGAGAGCCACATGAACTGTGGAGGCCCACTTACAACATTTCAGAGGGGAACGGTATTAGCAACTGCTAGAGATCATTCTTGTGATATTTCAGCAAAGAATATGCTTTTTGCCTATGTCCTAAGAATCTGTCTTAGACTAAATTGAAATGTAATGAACTCATATTAGCCTAATATTGCCATTGTCATGTGGTTATTTGTAATCATTCTTATGCAGGTATACAATGAAAAGGACATACAAAATGTACAGTATAAGTTAAAAAGAACACTTGGAAATTTAATGATAAAGGGAGTCGCGCCCTTAGGGCAGACTTTACCCAACTAAGTTTCTAACTTGTGAAAAAGAAAGGAATTTTCACTCCTAAAAAGCAACAACAAATTGGAGCTTGACACCGCTCTTGTAGAGGACGAGGGTTTATTTCCCAGCACTCCTATGGCACCTTACAACTGTATGACTCCAGTTCCAGGGAATCTGATGCCTTCTGGCTTCCACAGGTACTTCACACATGTGATACAATTCCATATATATAGGCAAACACCGTATCTATAAAAATCAAATGATGTGAGAAGCTAAAAAACAAAACACAAAGGCAGGAAGACATCTTAGAGAATGCCTGCTCTCATCCTTCCATGCATATGCAGAAGAGGCTCTACAGGGTACAAGAATCAACTATCCAATCAGAAAACAACCACAGTAAACAGATCTTGGACCTCTAGCTGTCCAACATCAAGAAAATAAATTCCTGTTGTTTCTGGCACCCAGTCTGCTGATAGTTTTGGTAGTCTGAGCAGATAAACACAAAAAAATGAACCTTGAATACATTGTGCTAAGTGAAACTAGCTGGTCATGAAGTGCAGGTATGATCCCATTAAATAGATCCATAGAAAAAGAACATTCAAATAGCCACAACAGAATAAAGCTTATAAGGTAGGGAAAGTGGGAATGGAGAGTTACTGTCTAAAGGATAAGTTTCTGTTCCAGATGATGACAAAGTTCTAAAAATGAAAATGGTGATCGTTACTTAATGTTGTCAATTTACTTCATAGCACACTTGAGTTAGCATGGTAAGGAATGGGTAAAAGTCTTTTTTTCATTGATTTCCTTTCATTACAGATTATGTGTATCCATATTTAAGATGTTATACTTACTCAGAAATTACTTATTGTAAACTGACACAATTCACATATAAAGACTTCAAGTGAACTGAAATGTCAAAAAGAAACCATAGAAATATGAGACTGGGAATGGATAGCTAATATATTTGTAAATAATAGCATTTGTCAATTAAAATGAATACTACACTTTACCAAATACCAAGATATTTTTTCATTTACTCTACATGAAGTGTATGAAATGGGATACTTTTTTCTCCTCAGTGAATAGCATATATGTCTCTGTTGTCTGGGCAATAGAAGTAGCTCTGTCACCACTAAGAATGCAACACGGGGCTGGAGAGCTAGCTCAGCAGTTTAGAGCACTGGCTGCTTTTCCAGAGGACTTGGGTGGGTTCCCAGCACCCATATGATTTCTCATATTTGTAACTCTAGTTCCAGGGGATCTAATGCTCTCTTTTGACCTTTGTGGACACGGCATACATATGGTAACACAGACATACATGCAGACAAAACACTCATCTGCATAAAAAAATCTAGAAAAAATGCAACCAAAGAGCTTGAAAGACAAGATGCCTCAGCAGTTGAGAACACATACTCTCCTCACAGAGCACCCAAGTTGTGTTTCCATGTCCACAGCTCTCAACCAATTGCCTGTGACTCCAGGTAAAGGGGCCACAGTACCTCTGGCTTCCACAGCCACCTGCAATCATGTGTACATGCCCAAACACAGATACATGTACACTTAATTCAAAATAATTTTAAAATCCTGAAGGAAAATCTTAAAACAAAAACTGGGAGTGGAGGTGCATTCCTTCAATCCTAGCACTAAAGAAGGTAAAACCAGGCAGTTTAAACAAAGTTTAAAAATTAAGTTGAAAATATGAGGTGTTTACTTATTTCTGTTATTTTGTTTTAGTTTTTGAGACAAGGGTCTCACTGTATAGCCCTGCCTAGTCTAGAGCTCACTATGTAGATCAGACTGTGTGGGGGTCTGTGCGACCTTCATGGCCAGCAGTGACAAGTTGAGGGAGTCAAGAAGGTAGTTCTGTTCAGCATGACTCAGTAGGCCTGTGTCGGTTCAAACTTCTAGGGTCTGACTTCAAGTGGTTCATTTCAGGTATATATAAGCACAGCACAATTTGGTGAAAACTATCCTGGTGATTGATTAAGTGGAAGCTCTACCTTGGCCCCATCTCTTTCTCTCTAGACCCTGCCCAAGAAAGCCTCCCAGCTCTCTGAGGAAGTGGAAATTCTCTTGACCACATCTAAAAAGACAAAAGAAAACAAAAGCTAAATCATTATTGAGGGCTACAGAGTTTTCAGTGGTTGTGAACACTGATTACTCTTCCAAAGGATTCTCATTCGATTCATGGAATTCACATGACTGCTCACGTAGCTGTGTGTAACTCCAGCTCCAGAGGCCTGAGATGAAAACACTCTACTCCTAAAACAAAATAAAAATTAAGATTTTTTTTAAAAAGTCAAAAAAAAAGAAAAAAAAAAAAGAAAGCCTACCAAGCAGCGACTCCTCCCGAGGGCACTTAAGGCCCCCTCCCTTGGGAGCAGCCTCATGATTTCCTCTCCTCCCCTGAGACCACCAGGGAATGCTTTGCTCGGATTAAAACCTGGACTAATTCAGCCTGATCTGATTTATTGCATCAGCGGAGAAACCAGTATCAGGGTAGGGAAACCTTTCGGTGATAATGAACTCAATCCTGTGTACACAACAAAGCATACTTAGATCTCCTTGAGGAACAAACAAAGCTAAATACAGATCAGACATGACTACATTGAAACTCTTCGTAAAGTTCATAAAGATAGATTCTATAGATTGGCTAGGGGAGGGGTCCAGCGCTGGGAAAAGTCTCTGGCCACACATATAGCGAAGAGGTCACCAGGCTGGGAAGCATGTTGCTTCAGCCTTCTGACCAGGTAAAAGGTATTGATTGCATCCTTTCTCTTGAAGGAACAATCCTGATGTTTAACATTCCAGGTTCCCCTAGTGCTCATCTGTGAGCATACAAACCTCCATGCCTCCTGTGAGGCTGTTCTTGAACTCACTTCTTCCTGTGCCTCCTGAGGGCTAGGATTTATGGTGCGCACCACCACACCCCACATTTTAAAAAATTTGTTTTAAAGAATTTCCTTTTGTAAATAAAATTGTAAACTGTGTGTGTGTGTGTGTGCACGCACGCGCATTATTTGGGCTTAGAGTTGAGAGAGGAGAGAGAGGACTGCTACTTTGGCTAAACCCAAGATTACATACATTGTAGTCCTAAGTAAACATAGTTGACTTCTTGTTTTGACCATCCTTACTTAAGAATCCCTAGGAGAAGGCGCATTATCAGCTTTCCTTTGTAGATCTTTAGATGTCTTCTGAACTCAGGCAGTAATTGTTAGCTTTGTTTTCCTGAAGAGGACAAGAAGGCCCAGAAGCACTGCATGGCTTCTCCTAGGATGGAAAGAGACCCTGTACCAAGCGAATATTCATTTAGTTAACTCTCACAGAGAAGAAGGGAATGAGGACCCATGGCCCTGGAGAGGTTCTGTCTTACCTGGGCAACTATAGTTAGTAGATTGTGGAGCCCAGTTTCCAGCCTAGATATTCTGGCAGCTGAACAAAGGTTTATCTCTTTAGTGTTTGATATTCTTAGTGGTGAAAAGAATATTAATGTTGGGCCCTGCACTACATGGTGGTGCACACTTTTAATCTCGGCAGTCCGGAGGGAGAAGCAGGCAGACGGAATTCTGTGAGTTGAAGGCCATCCTAGTCCACACATCAGGTTTTTGGCAGGTCAGTATTACACAGTGAAAACCTGTCTCAATAAAAATAAAAGAACACAAAGTTAGGAAGGTAGGAGGATCTGGGAGGGGAAAGAATATGACCAAAATATATCGTATGAGAAAATTTTTAATAAACCCTTATGTGATAACACAAAAATGCCACCAGAAATGGTTTGCATTGCATAGTCCAAAGCTTTTTATTAGGTATTTTCTCTTAGAAGATACTAGTTTTTGAAACTAATTTGGCAGGAACTGGAACGAAGGCTCAAAATTTTACGTGTCCAAGTATTCATAGCTTGTAGGTGAAGCTAGGAAATCCCACTGCACAAGTTCTAAACTCTGTACTTCTAATTAATACAATATTCACACGTTCTTAAAAAGGGGGTAACCAGTTCTGAAGCCAACCAGTACACCAAAACACCACTGGGAGCTAGTAGCAGGGAAGACATTGTTTTCCTTAATAATAACAGTAATAACAATTTACACCCCAGAGCTAGAGAAAGTGCTTTTCTTACAGAAATTAAGGTCCGAATGCGGGGGTTGGGGGGTGACGTCCCCCAGTCTGGCAGCCAGTCAGTGGCCCCGGGCCAGGTTTGGCTCTGCAGGTGAGTTCTAGCCTCCGGGCAGCGGGCCGGGCTAGAGGCTGCTGTCGCAAGTCCTCGGGGCCCTGGGCGTCCTCTCCCTCGCCCCAGGCGCCGGCCTGCCCTCCACCCGGAGCCTGCCCTCCACCCGGAGCTCGGCCCACGGCGCCCGACGCCCTAGCGGAGCAGGCGGGGGCGGCCTGCAGGCCCCTCCCCGGCGCCCAGCGGCAGCCGCGCAAGCAGCGGAGGAGGCGGGAGCGCCCAGGCCGCTGCGCTCATGGCGTCGCCCGGGTGAGTGAGGCGCTCCGGCTGCGCAGGGGGCGCCTCTTGGGCGAGGGGCGGGCCGAGCCGTGCGTGTCCGCGACCCGGCGCCCCCTCTGCCTCAGCCTCGGCCAGACCCCGGTGACCCTGTCCCGCCAGGTGCCTGTCCGCGACCCGCGGCCTCCCCCGCCGACCTTGGGCGGTCGTGGCCGGGCCAGGGTCTCCCCGCGGGGTCGCGGGCGGGACCAGCCAGGACAGCGGCTGATCAGGGCCCGGGAGCCCAGGAGATGGAGCCTGGATCTGCGCCGCGGGGAGGCCGAGGGAGGGGACTCGGGGTCCTAGGTCTCGGCTGAGGCCGCAGAGAGGCTTAGCAGGCCTGACGTGTGTTTCTGGCGTCTGTACTTGCTTGCGTTGGAAGTGGATGCTCGGGTTCACTGTCGTTAGGACATACCTAGGATGTCTCACAATGTTAGGGTAAGGGGGAGTCAGCTGGACCCTTGTCCAGAGTCGGAAAGCGGATCCGGGATCCAGGGCCCTGCCTGTGTTTGAGTGGGGGTGGGGGGGACTCCTGTGGGATGGCTACACTTGGTCTGGTATTACCTCTTTTCTAGTGCCTTTTCTCTCTCCTTAAAATAGTGCTATTTCTTAGGAAATTACAGTGACACATAGAGTTTGTATTTATTTGATGAAAAACTACCTCAACAGTTCATTACTACCGTTGTGTTTGATTTTACTAGTTACGAGATCTGAAATGACATAATTAGACTAATGCTTTTATGTCACAGAAAGGAAAAAGGGACTCAAGGTCATAATTTTAGTTGGTAAACATATTTTTTGACTGTACTCCATCATTCAGAGGATCTTAGACCCAGTAGTACTGGTAGTAATTCAAGCTGTGTATCTTTGCCGTTCACAGGGCTTACAGGTGCAGGAGGACTTTTAGGGTGGAGCATGTAGAAGTTAAACCTCCTACAAAGGAGGTCTGCACTGTGCTGTGGAGAGATTTGGCTCGGTACAGTGGTCTGAATGAAGGTGAATGAAGCAATCTGAACTTGATCCAGGCCTGCAGGCGCCAGCCAGATCCTGGGCAATTTCCACCTGCCTAATGCCTTTCTAGGCCTGAGGGCCAGCAGGCACTTCTGGGACCAGGCCTTTTCGTTGCCAGCTGAGTATCTAGTACTTTGAGCTCATAAGGAGAATAAACAATGACCCATCCTGGGAAGGCCAGGCTGATGGACCCAGAGGTTCAAGGTCCCCCTGCATTCTTATCCTGCCTGTTAGGAAAGTATAAGACAGGGCCTCTTGGAAGGAAGCAGTATGAAAATGTTGGAGCCTGTTGGGGGCTTCCATTAGGCTTGTAAGAAATCATAGCAGATTTCGTGTCTAAGCACACTGCTTTGTAGTGTAGACGTGAGTCAGAGGAGGTTGGAGCAATAATTCTGTGGATCAGTAATGCCTGAACCATGGTCTGTATAGTGGGTATTTAATGTTTGTGGTTCTAGTTGTGAGTGTCATTTCCTAAGGGGTGTCTATTAACAAAACTGAGGTCACAAAATTTTTTTTTTTTTTTTTTTTTTTTTTTTTCGAGACAGGGTTTCTCTGTGTAGCTTTGCACCTTTCCTGGAACTCACTTGGTAGCCCAGACTGGCCTTGAACTCACAGAGATCCCCCTGGCTCTGCCTCCCAAGTGCTGGGATTAAAGGCGTGCGCCACCACCGCCCGGCTTCACAAAATTTTTAATAGACTTAAAAACTCTGTGCTTACTTACTTTGATATGCATACACTTATTGACTATAGTTCATATCACTAGATTTTACACCCAAGTATCTTCTTTAATAGGCTTCTCTGGTAGGTGAGAGAATGCCTCCTGGGACTCCTGACCTGTCACTCAGCTAGCTGTTTTTTTTTTTTTTTCAGAGCTGAGGACCGAACCCAGGGCCTTGCACTTGCTAGGCAAGCGCTCTACCACTGAGCTAAATCCCCAAACCCCCCCTCCCCTTTTTTTTAAGCCAGGGTCTGGCTAATGTAGCCATGGCTGGGGCCTCAAGCTCACAGAGATGTACTTGCCTCCAGATGTTACCATTAAACCATCTTACTGCATGAGATGTTTTAGAGAGTAAATGCAGAGCAGTACATGGCAGAGATGGAAGGAGCTAGTCACAGGGTTGGTGGTGTGGGGGGTGGTGGGGTGGTGGTGGCTCTAAATCTATTGTTCTTTGCTAAGTGGCAATCTCAGTGATAGGATGATAAAGCTAGTGAGGAAAGAAAACAAATCTGAACCTGTTTTGAGGACCTTATAGATGTGCTAGTGGTATTAAAAGAAAAGATGTGTTTGAGAAATGACCCGTAACCCACTGTGTCTTGAACTGGAATCAAGACCAGAAGAGAAGGTGGGGACCATGGGCTCTGCCTACCGCTGTCAGCGTCATCCCAGCTCTGGAGAGTCCTGTAACAGCAGTGTAGAGGGAGAGGGAGGGAGAGCAGACACGACACAGAGCTCGCCCGTCTGCTGCCATCTTGCCCACTTCTGGACAGGTCTCCCTCCTGTTACTAGTCAGCTGGCTAGGCCCTTTGCTCTACTTGACTAGAGATCATAGGCGGTGACTAGACTCTTCGAGGGCTAGTCTTCAGCACCTTCAATTTCTGTTTGGTCACAGCAAATGGTAGCAGTTAGGATGTGGGGCAGCAGGTGGGACCTTTTCATGTTGGAGCCCTGGGCAGGCTTGAAGTGTTGGGACCCTTATTACACAAGGTTACAGTGTGTAGGCTTCAGAAATTAGGGTTTCTTGTGCTTACGGCCACTTAGGCCTAGGTTCTGCTGTCATTGCCGTGAGGACAGCTCCCTGGGACTCTGCTGTCCACCAGGGCCTGCTGTTTTCTCCTGACTTCCTAAGCCTCTCATCCTGTTCTGTCGTCTTCACCTCTGCCGCTCTTCTTGCTCTGTCTGCTCTCCTGTCTGCCTGCTTCTTCATCTGCTGGGCAGCTGCCTTGCTCCCCAGGGTCCAGCTGACTGTTGAGGTGTCCCTGTCTGTGGAACCATTTCCTTGCTGTCACTGGTATTTATTCCTGTCACCAGCTCAGCCCAGACTATTGAAAGTGGGTAAGAAAAGAAAAATACTCAAGAGAAACCTTTTGTTTGTTTGTTTGGTTTTTTTTTTTTTTTTTTTTTTTTTTTTGGTTTTTCGAGACAGGGTTTCTCTGTGTAGCTTTGCGCCTTTCCTGGAACTCACTTGGTAGCCCAGGCTGGCCTCGAACTCACAGAGATCCACCTGCCTCTGCCTCCCGAGTGCTGGGATTAAAGGCGTGTGTCACCACTGCCCGGTGGGGTGGTCTGTTTTTTCCTGGGATCAAAATCTAGCTATTATGGGGTTCCAACAAGGTATGACTGTGTAGCTCAGGCAGGCCTTGGATTTATGATCCTCCAGCCTCGATCTCTGGAATGCTGGGACTACTGACCTTCACTCTGTGCTCTACCCATCCTATTTTCAAAGACATTCTCACTCTTAACAGTGTTACAGCCATCCATCTGGAATTCCTGGGTTCTTCGTAATTTCCTTTTATTGTTATTTTCTATTTGGGTGTGGGGTGTCTATGCCACAGTTTTCATAGGAGTCAGAGGAGAACTTAGAGCCATCCTTTCCTTCCACCTTTCCATGAGTTCTGGAGTTGAACTCAGGGTGCCAAGTTTGCACACAAGCATCCTTCAACTTTTTGTAAGAGTGTCTCTCTTAAAATAATAGTGTAGGGGCTGGAGAGATGGCTCAGTGGTTAGGAGCACTGACTGCGCTTCCAGAGGACCTGGGTTTAATTCCTCGCACCTACATGGCAGCTCACAACTGTCTGTAACTCTAAGATCTGACACCTTCACACAGACATACATGCAGGCAAAACACCAATGCACATAAAATAAAAATAAATAAATTATAAAATACTAGTGTCAGTTTTCCCATTATCTTGAGAAGATTTCTTCCAAGAAACGCAGAAAATCCCTGAAACTGTGGCTAATCTCAAACTGTTTGAGACAGGGTCTCATGCAGACCGGGCTGGTCTCAAACTCACTGTGTACCTTAGGATGCCCTTGATGTCCTGATTCTCTTGCCTCTGCCTCTCAAGTACTAGGGTTACAGACATACACTATCACACCCAGCTAATACAGCAAACCTTTAAAAACTTTTCTTTTTAGATTTATTTGTGTATGAATGTTTTGCCTGCATATATGTATATGCACCACACGTATGCCTAATGCCTAAGGAAGTCAGAAGAGAGCTTCACAGTCCTTGGAACTGGAGTTATGGATGATGTAAGTGCTGGGACTTGAACCCAGGTCTTCTGCAAGAACAGTAAATGCTCTGAACTCCTGAGCCATCTCCCCAGCTCCTAGCAAATTCTTGTAGATGTTTTTTCTTATACACAAACATCCGTTTGACAAAATTTAATTTGTAAATTAATAACTAGTAATAAAAATAGAACATTCATAACAATATACTGTAGTAACAGTTTGTAGTTGGAGCCATTGGTTAGTAAAGTAAGAGTCACTTGGACACAAGCTGTGATATTGTGACAGTTGACCTAGTAATCAGGAAGATTTTTAAGTGACTAACAGGTTGGTGACATATATCAAGATATGCTAGCAAAAGGGATGATTCATGTCCTGGGTGTGACTGGACTGGAGGCAGAAGACCTTCATGCTCTTTAGAACAATATGAACTTTGAAACTTAGCAATTCTTTATTTCTTTATTTTTCAGTTAGTATCTCTAGCATACAGTTGGCCACAAGTAACTAAAACTCTAGAAAGTAAAACTACAGGGTGTGTGCGTGTGTGTGGTAGTTTATGTAGTCTGCTACACTCACAGCCTTGCAAATGAAATTAGATGTCTCCCTGTACCTCATCTGAGTTTGGGGAGTAC